AACTTCATAACAACGGCGGGTAAATTTATAAGAATATATAATAGTTTTTCGATAGGGTAATATACCAGTAAGGGCAACTACGACCGATAGTATATATAAAGATGCGTCGCCGATAGCCTCTACCGAACGGCAATAAAGATGCGGGGGGTTTTTACCTAGGAAATACGGGTTTTCCTCCCGGCTTTAACCGACGAAGGACCGCATACCTAAATGGGCGACTAGTTAAATAGATAGTTAGCGTGAATAAGATTATTATTATTATTATATATTTTTTATAGTTATAAACGTGTAGGTATATTATATTTAATTTGTATAGGGATATTGTATTAAGGCTGTTTCGGTGGGCGATGAAGGTATAAAACCGTTTATAAGGGGATTTTTAGTCGTAAAGCTATTTGGGCGATTAGTTAGTAAGGTAGATTGTTGCGGAAATAATATTTAACTATAGATGTTTTGTAAAATATATATTTAGATTTATTGTTCGAAATTTCTCTTTAATTATATTTCCCGAACGTTTTGCACCATTATTTTATACTTAGGTATTTAGGGTAGAGGGCTTTATAATTATTCTTTTAAAAGCGAGGAAATCTTTTATTACTTTAGAATCGGTGATTTTATTATTATATTTAATAATTTTAGGTTCGATATCATATTAGACAGCGAATATAGTAAAGAGGTCGTTTAAGAAGGAGGTAATAATTATAATTTTATAATTTATTATATAATAATTTTAAATATAATTAATATACCAATAAATAATGAATATAACATTAGAGTGTCTTTGGCGGCTTTTATTATAATTTAAGAAGTCGATAGCGAGTTTTTTATTAAATTTATAATTACGGTTTTAAAGTTTTCGTTTAATTTATTATTTTATTTTCAAAATTGCGTAAGCGTTATAATTTACAGTTACAGGTCCTTTAAAACGGGCCCTTATAACGTTACCGAAGTAATTTAATATTTAGGGGTTGTAGTAACTGAATTAGTAATATTAGATAATAGTTTCTTTCTTGTAGTATTTCTAATTAGTTAGCGAGTTGAATTGGTTTTGTTTTATAAAGAAGGTAGTTTTCGAAAAGGTTAGGGAGAGATTTTTGAGGACCGTTTAGTAGTAATGCGTAGAGAGGTTATAGAAAAGGGAGTTATTTAGAGCGTATAGATAGTTATTTAGGGGTTTTTAGTCTTAGTAGAGGCCTTTTTTACGTAAGAGGTAAAGAGATACGAAGTTAGCTATAAAGTTTAAGTAGAAGGCTACGTTATTAAGGCGAAGTTTTTTAGGTCTTTTTATTTTTTTTATAATAATATTTATATTATTATATCCTTTAATAGGAATATACGAGTTTTTAACTTAAAGCCTATTATTATGTGGGGTATAATGGAAATTAAAAAAGTAAGAGATTTTATTAAATATATGGAGAGAGTTCTTAGAATCGAAGATTATATTATTTTTAAGAGTGTAAATATTTAAACTTTCACTTATATAGAGAGTAGCTTTATTAATATTAAAAGTTATTTTATATACATTACCTTCGTTAGACAGTTAATTATTCTTATTATTAAAGTTAGGGAGAGGCTGGGCGTATTACTTTACTATTTTCCGTTTATAAATTTCGATTTTTCTTTTTAGTTTTAAATTATTTTTAAGGTTCTTTGCAATTTTGTTTTGAGTTTTTTTATTGGGCTTCTATTATAGATTTATTATTATAGTTAGAACGGGGAGCATATATTAATATTATTTGGTAATATATATACCTTTCTTATATACTTTATAGCGAGGGGAATAGTTTTTACTTTTCGTATTACATTTCTTTTTATATTAATTGTAAATTCTATTGAATCGAGCGTTTTTATTTTTAGTATCGTTACCCTACGAGTTGTTAAAAGTAATACCTATTTTAAACGTTCTCTTATACCCTTTAACTTTAACCGTAGTAATTGGAGGTCGTTTATATAGGCTTTTACGACGAAAGTCCCCGGATATAATACGAAAGTTAAGAGTGTTAATTATAATTTTTTTATTAAAGAATTTCGAGATTCCGGATATTTAGTTAGGGCGTACAGGTTTTAAATAGTTTAATAGATTTTTGAATTAAGTAACGGCTAATTTAATTTTTAGGATTTTATATTATATAACGTTAGTTATTATTAAGTTCTAGCCGTCGATTTATTTATTTATTCTATTAGAGTTTTTATTAAGTTCGTTCGATAATGGTTTAACGTAATCGTAATATCGTTAATATATTTCGATTATAATATATTTTTCGCGGTAATTATAAATATTACAGACTTTAGTATATTATACAACGGTAGATTCTAAGGGGGTAAAGGAGCTAATTTTATAATTTAAATATACGGTTTCTTATATCTACTTTCGAAGGTTAATATTATTAGTCTTAAAAGATTCGTAGGTCTTTTATCGGTTATTATATATAGTATTATTATATTTATATTCTTTAATAATTAGAGGGGTAAGGTCGGTTAAATAAATGATTATATTAATTAATTAATTTTCTTTAGGCCGGTCGGTAATTTCAATATTATTATTAGGGTATTTATTAATAATTATAGAAGTGGCATTAAAGGTTGCTAAGATATAGTAAATTAGGAATTTAATTTCGAAGCGTTGGAGGGATTTTCGAATTCTTTTGATACGGTGGGTAACTACAGCCTTAAAAGTATAATTAGAATAATACAATTCTTAGGGTTTAATAACAGTTAATTCGAGGCTTTATAGATAATTGGTGAGGTTTAGGCCTTTAATGTATTTTAGGAATTTATTATTCTATTTACGGAATTTTAAAGGGGTGTCGAGGTAAGGTCGGTTGGATTTAGAGGTAGATTCTTTCGATAGGGATATAGTTTCGGTTGTATATAGGGTTGTGTAGATAGATTTCGTGCTTTTAAATATATTCGTGTAGTATAGGGATTACGAAGTTAGATTGTTAATTATTAGATTGTATGGTTATGTGAATGTAGAGAATATAGGTTGATCGCTATATTGATCGAGTATATAGAGTAGAAAGACTGTATATATAGGTTGGAGGATCCCAGAGTATTAGGGAGGTCTGTAGCGCTGTTGGGGTAGCTAGGAGGCTAGTCCTCTTACAGAACCCTCGTCTTACTAGCTAGATATGGCCCACCAAATTGACAGATGGCACCGCCGGACGCCCCGATTGAAAGGAGACAACGGGGTATCGAATATTAGGGCTATATAAAAGATACGTACCTTCTCTACTTCGCCCTTTTCTAGTGGCCAAGCAGTGTCTCTTAGCGCCAAGTCGCTGGTCCAACCCCAAGTCTCTCCTCTTTAAGACTTTCACTATAACTTTACGAAAAATTACTATATTAAAAAACGGACTTCACCAGTAAATTTAGCGCGTCCAAAAGGGGCCTTTTTATAGGGGTTAGCTATATACCGAGTTGTGCTGAGATTGATGTAGCGGTTGTGAAGAAAATCGCAGGTACTTGGGTTTGGTTTGGCTTGCAAGATGTAGGCGGAAAAGGTACGTATCTTTTATATAGCCCTAATATTCGTTTCCGACAACGGCACGCGGACAAGATGCCTACAGGGCTGAGGTGGCATCGAGAAGGAATGGGTAAGGTAGGGTAAGCAGTCTCGGCAGTGTGAGGACTGGAGATTCAAGAGAGATCTTGTCGTGTTTCTATGCTCTTCTCTCGTATTGGCAGGATGTGAATGCCCCTCTGTCCATAGTTCGAAATGGTATCGTCGCGGCACGATCACGATGGAAGATTCCTCAACTCTATGTGTGGGGTGCTTGAGGCATCTGTAGGTAAGTGATATAGAATATATGCTTACCTTCAGTCATGAGCAGAGGTGAGCTCAACCCCCACTCTCATGATAGTGAATGGCTGTCTGAATTCGACCGACGGAATCCGACCGACGGAATCTCTTCACTTCTTCACGTACGGTATCGCCGGCACTTCCACACGTGAAATCCTAGGAGGTTGGAGCTAATCGCAGATTAGCATGTCTTTGGCGAGATATAAATAGCAGCTCACCGTTCTTCGGTATCCGCAATTGCCCATGTTAATTATCTTATCAATGAGCGAGCGGCCCCTTTTCTTACAAAAGGTTGTTCGTTGCTTTGCAGAGGTCAACGAACTTGACGACGGCGGACAAGTCGAACATCACACCAACATGAACATGGCTCAATGGACAGCTGCATTCACCGTGACGGTTACAGAGAGCTCCCGGTAACGCTATCACAACTCGCAGCACAACACACTTCAACCTCTGCACCATTGGCTGGACCATAGGCATGTGCTCACTGCAAGGGAAATATCGTCAATTTGCCGGTAACATGACCATCTCGTAATTGCAGACAGGCAAAGACAGGCCCCGCCATCGCCGAGGAAAACGGGATGCTGTCTCGTGGGCGGGCCATGGTGGGGTAATCACACGCTCCTCAAAACCCTTTCTCCAAACAGTGGGTGACATGGCCCGTGCTTTCCATATTGCGGTGCGGTACCTAGTGCGGCCACTAACAACAAGGGGAACCTTCATTGCGGTGCGGTGCGGTGCGGTGCGCGCGCGGCGGTAACGACGGGAACCGTACTTGTACAATTTGTGAAAGAGGAAATCGACTGACATTGCGCGGCATTTCATTCGACCCGTGTTTTCCCTCGTCAGTACACTACATACTGCAGTCCCCGTCGTCGTTCGTCGTGAGGTGACCCATTGAAACGACTCCCCAGACTCGGGCTTTGCTTTGCGACTGGCGACTGACAAGGTGTGATTCCGCGTCGAGTCATCTGATTACCTTATTGGACGACGCCTTAGCTCGGCCTTTCCTGGTCGTCGCAAATCGGTTCGGGTTCAGGGACCACGAAAAATCGTCACAACGAAAGTCGAGCACCGCACAAACACCGAGGACCAATTCCCGCCGCTCGTGTCCGCTTGTGCGTAGAAACAACGAGAGAGACAGTACTATTGCACTCACATCCGCATCCGCATCCTTGGTTGTCGAGCATCCCTTATCATGTCGACCAACCCAGCGCGCGGCCCCAGCCGTGCTGGTGGCAGCAGCGCCCAGCAACAGAATCGCAGCGCGACGCCCTACGGCCAGAACCACGCCGGCTCGGCCATCCCCCGCCCCGTCCTCGAAGCCAACCATGCCGCCACCGGGAGTGAGGTCGGCTCTGCCTCCTTCAGCGTGAGCAGACAAAAGCAGTCCAAGAGAGATGAGGTGCGTGATCCCGAACTTGTCACCGCCGCTTGCCCCCTTCCCTGCCCCGATGAGGTTGGAGATGCCGTCTAACACCGCCGTTGCCAGGCCATCCGCCGCAAGATGGAGAGCGATCTCTCCAAGAAGAAGCACCTTACCAGCCGAGCCCGTCATACCCGCAAAGCCCCTCCCGGAACCGTCCTCGCCCTCAAGCCGAGTCCCGCCCTCCAGATCAAGGCCGCGACCACCGTTTCCGAAGCCGCCCAGTTGATGGCCGCCAAGCGCGAAGACTGTGTTCTTGTCACCGACGACGATGAAAGGATTGCTGGTATCTTCACAGCCAAGGACTTGGCCTTCCGTGTCGTCGGCGGCGGGCTCAAGGCCAACACCGTCACCATTGCCGAGATCATGACCAAGAACCCGCTGTGCGCTAGGACCGACACCAGCGCCACCGACGCCCTTGATCTCATGGTGCGCAAGGGCTTCCGCCATTTGCCCGTCATGGACGAGAACCAGGACATCTCGGGCATTCTCGATATCACAAAGTGCTTCTACGACGCGATGGAGAAGCTGGAGCGCGCCTATGCCTCGTCCAGGCGGCTGTATGATGCGCTCGAGGGTGTTCAGTCGGAGCTTGGCGCCAGCCAGCCCCAGCAGATCATCCAGTACGTCGAGGCCCTGCGATCCAAAATGTCGGGCCCGACCCTGGAGTCTGTCCTGAACGGCATTCCCCCGACCACGGTCAGCGTCCGGACCTCGGTGAAGGAGGCGGCCCAGTTGATGAAGGAGAACCACACCACGGCGGTCTTGGTACAGGATCAGGGAGCAATTACGGGTATCTTCACCAGCAAGGACGTCGTCCTCCGTGTGATTGCCCCCGGCCTTGACCCTGCCACCTGCAGCGTGGTTCGCGTCATGACCCCCCATCCCGACTTTGCGCCCATGGACATGACCATCCAGGCTGCGCTGAGGAAGATGCACGATGGCCACTACCTCAACCTGCCGGTGATGAACGATACTGGCGAGATTGTCGGCATGGTTGACGTCCTCAAGCTCACTTACGCCACCCTCGAACAGATCAACACGATGGGCAGCGGTAGCGACAACGAGGGCCCTGCCTGGAACAAGTTCTGGCTTTCTCTGGATCACGAAACCGAGTCCATGGTATCAGGCGACGGCTCGCACCACCACACCCACCATGGGCCTAGATCGCTCATGTCGCCCGACATGGCCCGCAGCGAGCGCATTGTCGACAGCGTGGCGCCTGGTGACTCGGCGAGCCATGCCGGCATCGAGTCGCCGTCCCACAGCCAGCTGGGTGGTATTCAAGAGGTCAACCCTGCTGATATCCCCTTCCCCTTCAAGTTCAAGGCTCCCAGCGGCCGCGTCCACCGTCTGCAGGTGACAGCCTCCCACGGCATGGCTGAGTTTGTCGCCGCTGTCGCCGCCAAGCTTGGTGCTGAGGTGGACGCTATTGGCGGCACCCCTGAGGTCGAGAACGGCAGGCTGTCCGGTGGATTTGCGCTCAGCTATCTTGACGACGAGGGCGACTCGGTTTCCATCACCACGGACCCGGATCTCCTCGAAGCCATTCTGCTTGCGCGTCACGGCCTTCGCGAGAAGGTTGACTTGTTTGTGCACGACCCCTCGGAGCCTGCTATTTCCCACGCCCCTACGCCTGCGCCGGTGATTGAGACGATCCCCGCCACCCCTCCTGCTTCGTCGGTGGTTCGTGAGCGGAGAAAGAAGGTCGAGGAGGAATCCGAGGAGGTTAGTGAGGAGGAGGAGGAGCCCGTCCGTCGCCGTCCCACGCGCATGCGCACAATGTCTCAGCCACAACAAGAGCCGGCCCAGGTCATTGCTGGTGTCCCCAACGAGCTGCTGCTTCCGGGTGCTATTGTCACCCTGGCCGTGGTGATCGTTAGTGTGTTTACCATTACGAGATTGACCAGCCGTTAAGCTTATAAGAATTTACACTATTTTTTGGTTTCTTGGATGAGAAGTTAGGTAGAGATAAGATGAAGACGAAGCAGGGAGTCTTGTGGTTTTGATGCCAAAGATTGATGCAGTAGTTGTTGTTGTTGGGCTCGAGAGATTGTTGATAATGGGCTGCCCAATCCAATGATTATTCTTCATTCGCCTGTTAAAGGTAGATGCATGAATGAATGCAGGACGGGAGGGCCGGGAATGGGACCCTGAGAGTGAGAGAGAGGGGTTGGCCGGATTGGTATAGGTTACCGTAGAAATACTACCCGCTACAGACTACATTTTGGCATTGTGATTAAGTTTTGGTCTGCGAGAGAGCGTTCTTTTTAGATTTATCTCTTTTGTTTGGTTCCCGTCCTATTCCCGTCTTGATTCTGAGGATTCTGTCGATGCCGAATTGCCCGTTGTACAGGTCGGCCACTTGACCCCAGAATTCCCGTGGTGGGGCCGTTCCAGTGCCTGAAGGAGGCCGCGCTACAGTGGTGCAGTGATCCACGTCTGGCGGGCGCAATGCCGAAAGTGAGTCGGCGCACGGGCCACCTTCGGCCGTGTACCGTCCAGAAAAGTTGAGCGGCCGATTTACAACGTCTTCCCGACGACGATGTGTCCGACCCCAGCATTTCCACCATGATTGTTCGGAATATCGGCGCGCGGTTAGGTGAGCATTCCGGTCTCCTCTTTGAACAAGCCAAATGATGGCAAGCTGACGGTTTCACTGCAGGCCGACGGGCCCTGGCCACTCCTCTTTCGCGGGCCTCTTTCCAGGCCCAGTCGCGATTCCTCTCCCAGGACAACTTCACTGCGCCGCCGCCGCCGACGAACACCAAGAAGCAGGCTGCCGAGACAGCCTTTGCTGAGCCCACCCTCGAGGAGCAGGCCGATTTCTACGCCGAGAGCATCGAGAAGCTCACTCCCGAGTTCGCCGCTTCCCCGGCCGCCGAGGCCTGGTCCGCGACCTCCGCTACTGCCACCGAGACCGTTACGACATGGGACCCAAGCCTCGTCGACGAGGAGGCGCTTAAGCTCAAGCAGCAAATCGAGGCCATTCCGGGCAACTTCAAGCTCTTCAAGCAGACCAAGGCGCAAACCCAGAAGCTCGGCGCGGGCGTCGAGGTCCGCTACATCCCCGAGCAGTACCTCCGCAACCCCCCCTCGGACGCTTCGCTCGAGGACCTCATGGCCGCCCAGGCTCACATGGGCCACAACACCTCGCTCTGGAATCCGGCCAACGCGCGCTACATCTACGGTGTGCGCCAGGGTATTCACATCATCAGCCTCGAGACGACGGCCACGCACTTGCGCCGCGCCGCCCGCGTCGTCGAGGAGGTCGCCTACCGCGGCGGCCTGATCCTGTTCGTCGGCACCCGCCCGGGTCAGCGGCCCATCGTCGTGCGCGCCGCCGAGCTGGCCAGGGCCTGCCACCTGTTCACCAAGTGGAGGCCCGGAACCATCACCAACCGCGAGCAGCTGCTGGGAGGCGTCCCGCTGACCGTGGTGGACGAGCTCGATCGCCCGCTCTCCGGGTTCGAGGATCATTTGCATGACCGCAGACCCCTGGCGCCCGATCTGGTTGTGTGCTTGAACCCCAAAGAGAACATGACGCTGTTGTACGAGTGCAGTTTGGCCAAGGTCCCGACTATTGGTATTATTGATACCAACACCAATCCCGCGTGGGTTACTTACCAGATTCCGGCCAACGATGACAGGTAAGGACTCCTCGCCCGTGGATGCACATTGACGATTTTACTGTGTGTGGTATTGTATGTACAGTTACTGACGACTATGATTTTCAAACCAGTTTGCGAGCAACCGCCCTCATCAGCGGCGTCCTCGGCCGTGCCGGTGAGCGTGGCCAGAAGCGCAGACTCGAAGCGGCGCAGCGCGGCGAGGTCACATGGAAGACGCCCGCCGATGTGCAAGGGTACTTTGAGTTGGCTTCAGCGCGGGCGGCCGACGTCCGGAGGAGACAGGCACAGGACAACAGCGTGGAGGAGCAGAAGGAGAAGGACACGTTCCTGAGCGAGGATGCGCTCAAGGAGATGTTCGGTGGTGGTGCTCGTGTATAAGAAAGAGATATGGAAAAAGAGGAATGGAAATGTCTTAGCATGGTAGAGAAACCAGGCCAGTGCAGCATGTGAAGGGGTTGTAAAATAGCCTTTATTGTACTATATACCGAATACCTAGTCTTTGCAACGATGAGATGAGTTGGGTAGGTGAGTTTCGGTAGTTGCCGGCCAGTCGTGCATTGCATGTAGCAACCACGGGCAACCAAGCATGTCAAGTACCTTCAACTATTTAGGGTGTCTTGCAGACAGGTTTCAGAAGGTTCAAAGGTATCATAAGGCAGGACAACGTCACTGGGCGTGTTTATTCACTCTTACTTCACAAACAAAGCTTCGAGATGTTGGAGTTTCAGGGGAAAGAGCTGTGTAGATAGGTACTGTAGGAGACAATGATGACTAAGCCAGCGGACACCCTCATTTTCACGAACCAAAATGTGAGAATCGAGAGTTCCATTCACAACTCTCAGACCTCCCTCTTTTGTTCCCCGTGAGCACAAATTATCACCACGCCGAATATTTCAGAACGACGGGGATCCAACCCAAACGCTTATCAGATTCGCCGCCGCCGCCCGCACACCACCCACGCGCTACACGGGGCTGGACTCGTCGTGCTCAGAGCTGCGACGGCGCGTTTATGCAGTCACGTCAAACACTCACATGCTTGTCGGGTCCCGTTGCACTTGGTGCACAACAGCAGTGACAAGACAAGACAGCCCTCTGGTGATTGGTGATCCAACATTGGTCATCGGTACGCCTCGGAGTGTCCACCCAGTCCATACGGTCGGTGCGACTCTCGGGTCCCGTTGTTTCTCCCTCCGTATCCCGTGTCGGACCCGGGAAACAGAATCCCGAGGATTGGGGTTGTGAGGTGGGGCTGAGTGTGGGTGTCACCCCGGGCCTCCGTTTTCGGGGTCAAACATCGTCACACCCGCACCAACTGCCGGATCTCGGCCGCGGTCACGGCCCCACTTCGGCTCCTGAGCCGAGTCCCGATACAGTAAACGAACTTTTATCGAACTATCGAGTTATCGAACTATCGAGCTATCGATCAGCCATCCAATTCGGTCTTGGTTGTCACCTTTAGGGCGCGTTCGTTTCTTACCCCGCCGCGTATCTATACATACCAGGTGGCCCGATTTGGACGTCGCCGTCTTTATATATCTCGCACACTCACACTCTCGATTCATACAACGAGTGTGTTCTTTTGGCTTCAACTAGCTTTGATTAGTTGTCTCTTGTTCAAAGTGCGTATGCTATAACCTCATGCATTTTCATCTTGATGGATTGCATCTTTACGCCTAGATAACGTGGCTAACACCGTTGGCAGGGCGCATACTTTGACACTACGGGAGTTCGAGTGTTTTACGGCGTTCATATCAATTGACTTGCAACAAGACCAAGACCAAGATGCCAGCCATCCTTGAGGACCCCTCCGCCGGAACCATCTACCGCGTCTCTGGAGCGGCTCCCTATCCAGACCCTGCTCACCCTTCTTTCCCGCCCACCATTGTCCCTCGCCATGTGACTCTGCGGGATCGCCAGACGATGGCTACCGTTGTCCCCTTTGCCTCGCGCCATCAGGTACCCGATTCCCTGTTGCACTATCTCCATGATCAGTTTAACAAGGAAATCGAGGGTGGTGACACCTATCCCATGATGGATGCCATGCCCTTCGACAAGTTCGCCGACTACTGGTTCCAAAACTTTGCCGGCGTCATGCTTCTCGGCCAGATCGAGCGCGGCGAGGACATTGTCGACAACAAGAACTGGTCGACCGAGTGTCTGGGCACCTTCTACATCAAGCCCAACTACCCTGGCCGCAGCAGCCACATCTGCAATGCCGGTTTCATCGTGACGGATGCCTCCCGCAACCGCGGCGTCGGGCGTCTCATGGGTGAGACCTACTTGGACTGGGCACCCAAGCTGGGCTACACGTACTCGGTCTTCAACCTCGTGTACGAGACCAACGTGGCGTCGTGCAAGATCTGGGACGGCCTGGGCTTCAAGCGCATTGGCCGTGTCAAGGGGGCCGGCAACCTCAAGAGTTACCCGGACCGTCTGGTGGACGCCATCATCTTTGGGCGGGACTTGGGCGACGCGGCAGGTAACGAAGAACTTGTGAGTGAAGAGCGTTTCGACAAGATCAAGTTCTATCTCAAGTACGGCCGCTATCCGAACGGGGCTGACCGAGCCGAGAAAAGCAGGCTTCGTAGCGCCGCGACTCACTACAAGCTGGTCGACGGTGACGTCCTCATGCTCAAGGACAAGGAGGTCATCTCGGACCCGCGCCGCCAGTACGACATTGCGAGAGAGGTGCACAACCAGTCGCATGCGGGCATCAACAGAACCACGGCCACCATTGCGGAGCGCTACCACTGGAGTCGCATTAAGGAGACGGTCTCGGATGTAATTAGGAACTGTTCCGAATGCAAAGAACTGGGAAAGTCTTCATTGTCATCAACGTCCCAAGCTCAGCAGCACCAGCACCAGCCTTCCTTGTCTAACATCATGACCACAACGTCCAGCGGCATAAAGCGTCCGAATCTTAGCCCGCCCATTGGGGCCAGCAGCTCCAAGCGATCATCTCCCGCTCCATCTCCTGGCTTTGTCCCGGTTGGTGATACTGTCACCATAGGTGATCAGCCCAGGACGCACCCCATACCTGCCTTGCCGCCCGAGCCACCATCTCACATAGATCCCTATGCTGCCTCGTCGCATCACTATAACCAGAGTCATCCGCATTTTACTGATGCCAGCGGTCATCAGATCTCCATCTTGACATCCCCTTCCCCCGGTCCTCCCATGCAAGTAACCCCTGATACAACAACAAACCTAGCCACCGTTCAGCATAACCCCTTTACTCGTCACGCGGCGCATGAAAGTCCAATGCTACCACACCATCCTTCCCCTCCTCCACATCACCACCATCATTACCCACCTCCCTATCCTTCCCACCCGCATCATGAACCGCAACATCACTCTGTAGCAGGACCCTCTCATCATCACCAGCCTCATCATCCGCACGTCTCCTTGCCCCCCATTATCGATCCACAAATGATAAGCCAACCAGGGCCATCGTCTGCGCGAACAACCACTGCCCATCACCATTCCCTAAGCGATCACGGGCAAGTCCATAACGAGCGAGATTACACCCAGCACCATCAGCCTCAGCATCATCCAAACCCATTCCACCATCGACATCCTCTCCATCCGCCCACACAGATGCCGCATACGACGGTGTATAGCCAACAACATCAAATCCACCCATCCCAGCTCCACACTACGACAGCACACAACGCTCACCCGTCCCATGGCGCTCAGCATTACCCTCCCCCTCCCGAAACAACGAGGGCTCTTCCCATGGGCGGTCATAATCACATCATGCAGCACGATACCCGCCATCAGCAGCAGTATCAGTACCAGTACGCGCCGCACCAGCATGATCAACCTCACCAACACCAACATCATCATCTGCAGCAGCAGCAGCAGCAGCAGCAGCAGCAGCAGCAGCAGCATCAAAGCCCCCAACATCAACAACACCAGCAGCAGCACCACGCCGGTGGCGCCTCTTCTGCTTCCGAACCTGATACCGATTCGGACACGTTCCAGGCTTTGTTGACTGTGGCGGGTACCGAGGCTGTTGGTATCGGGATGGGTGTGGGTGTGGGTGTGGGTGATGGGGTGGCATCGGGATCGGGAAGCGGGAGTGGGACCAGCGGGTTGATGGACGGTGGTGGTGGCGGTGGTGGTGGTGGTGGTGGCGGGATGCAGCATATGCAGCAGCAGGAGCATCATCAACGTCGTCAGTATGAGAATGGACGTGGTCACTTTGATCAAACTCACGAGGAGCGTGGTGCTGATAGGTCGGATGGTGGGAGGGAGGATCATAGAGGGGAGCAATGGGGTGGTGGTAGTAGTGGTGGGGGAGGACAAGCGGGGGGTGATAAGGATTTGGACATGTTGGTTGAAACCAGTAGCGAGGATGATGATGAGGACGAAGGTCAGGATGAGTACCAGAAGGCCGCTGCTGCAGTAAGGTTATCACGAGGACCCACGCCAATTTGGGGGGAAAGTGGAAGAGAACAACAGTCGGGTGCCAGCGCTAGTGCCGGTGGTGATGTTGACATGGACACAACAAATCCGGGATCATGCTTTACAAGCATCAACAATAACCGAAACCGCCACGACCTAGTAGCAGCAGCAGCAGCAGGAACCACTAGTAGTTCTTCTACTACAACTACAGGGAACATCACCACCACCAATTCAGGTCTAAGCCCACGCTCAGATGTGGCGGTGAATACCTCTATCGATGGTCAACACCACCGAGAAGGCCATGATGTTAGGGAGCAAGTGAGAGTTATAAAGGACGGAGAAACCGCCGTAGCAGCAGCGGATGCAAACACTGCAGACGCGACGGAAGAGCCAGAAGGCGATGATAATGATGATATCGATATGGATCTCAACGACGATAATGAAAATGAGAACCGGGATCAGGATCAGGATCAGGATCAGGACGAGATACAAGATCAGGATCAAGATCAGGATCAGGACCACCACCTAAACCCATCATCTCCAAGCCTCAATCCAGCTGAAGAAGATGGCATGGATATGACTACAGAAGACATGTCGGAAAACGGTCTCGATCACCATGGTCACGGTCTCGATCACGGCCAGGACAACAGCCACGATCATCAGGAACACGATCATCAGGAACGTGGTGGTGGCCAGGATAGGAATAGGAATACTAGGGGAGGATGGGAAAGTAGTACCACCATCAGTAGTCATCCTTCTGCTGATGACGCAGTCGCAGTCTCTGCAGCTGCTGGTCCCGGTGCTGCCATCGCTGCCGTCGATCCAGATGCAATGGACACCACAACCACAGAAACAGAAACTGGAATAACCCCAACCCCCGGGACAGCAACAGAAACAACAGGAACAGGAACACCACCTACTCCACCGGCGGCAGCGGCAGCACCGAATCCCGAACCAGTAACTGGAGAGGAGAAGGAAAGTAGTAGTGGAAGTGCAGGTAATGGTTCTGCGGGGGAGGCGACGGCGACCGCGACAGCAACAGGGACTGGAGGTGCTGGAGGTGGAGGTGGAGGTGGTGGGAGTGGGAGTGGGAGTGGGAGTGCGAATGGAAGTGGTAGTGTAAATGGAAGTGGAAGTGGAAGTGGCAAGATGGATGTAAGCCACTTGCTTTCTGGTGACGATGATGCCGACGGCAAGGAGGAAAGATAAAAAATAGTTGGAGGACTTGCCGACGCTTTTAGTATACAGGAACTTTGCGTCAATAGAATACACATAGAAGAGTTTTTTTTTTCTTTTGAATACCTTTGTCAGTAATTTTCCGGCGTTGATCAAGCAAGACCATACGAAAAACAGCCGGACAGAAACATGCACCAGCCTAGGACCAGTACCGGGCGTTGAGTTCCCAGGCCTTAGGCTCATAATGTGTCACCGAAATCACCTCAACTGCTGCCAGCGTCCAGAACAACTTGACAGAATCATTCGTACAGGTACATTCCCACACTATGCCATCTATATTACGTTTGTTATCATCTTTAACTTAACATAACTCCTGTCCCCATTTACCGCCTAGGCATGCCACGGCCCCTACCCCTCAAAGCCCTCTGGGCCGCACCAGGCGGCAATTTCTGACCAGGAGCCTGTGGCGCCTGGCTCTCCTCGTTCCTGATGGTCTCATCCACACCGAGAATCAAGCAAGCCGCCTCCGTGGCCGCCTGGAGGGCGTTGATCTTGACGAGCGCGGGCTCCCAGACGAAGCGCTCCATCATGTCGCAGACGCCCTCGTTCGTGAAGTCGACACCAGCCCACGTGTTGCCCTTGCGGTGCTCGACGCGGAGCTTGTTGAGGATGTCGGTGGCATCGAAGCCGGCGTTGTCGCAGAGCTGACGGGGGATGATCTCGAGGGCCTTGGCGAAGGACTTGATGATGGCCTGCTGCTTGTGGGCGACGTCGCGGTCGGCGAAGCGGTGCAGGTAGGCCGAAATCTCCATCTCGACGGCGCCGCCACCGCCGACAATGGTCTTGTTGCGGATGGCGCGCTTGACGATCATGATGGCGTCGTGCAGGGAGCGCTCGACCTCGGCGATGAACTGCTCGGCGCCGCCGCGCAGGACGAGCGTGCACGTCTTGGCCGACGGGCAGTCCTCGAAGAAGTTGAAGCGCTCGCCGCCGATCTGGCGCTCCTCAAAGGTGCCGCAGGTGCCGAGGTGCTCGGGCAGGATGTCGGAGCAGGTGCTCTGGACGGTGGCGCCGGTGGCCTGGACGACGCGCTCCATATCCTCCGAGGTGACACGGCCAGCGCAGAAGATGTCGCGATCGGCAAAGTACTGGGTGGCCAGATCGCCAATGGGCAGCTTGGACAGCACCACCTTGGCGCCTGTCGCGTGGATGGCCTCGAGCTTCTTGTAGATGATCTGCCACTCGGCGTCGACGATGGCCTGGTACTCGGAAACCTGCTCGACGCGCACCTCGGCGTTGTCCTTCTCGGCCTTGAGCTCGAGCTCGACGTTGAGGCAGCAAATCTTGGGGTTCTTGAACGACTTGGGCTGTTGCTCGAAACCGGCGTACGAGAAGGTCTTCTTGAAGGCGACACCGTTGACGAAGAGCGAGTCGGTCAGGGAGCCGCCGGGGATCTTCTTCATGCCTATTAACTTTTCGTTGAGGTCTTCTTGGTCGAGGGAGAGGACGGCGTCGACAACCACTGCGCACAGGCGGGGTCTGTTAGTACTAGCACGAGGGTGGCCTGTTTGCGACATTGATTCGCTTACTCTCTGTGAAGAACTCGGTGTTTCTCTTGATGAGCTTGCTGGTCATGGCGGTGGCGGCCAGCTTGCTCAGGGTCTCGCGGCGGTTGGACTCGTTGGTGCTGATGGCAATCTCCTTGATCTTGTTGACAGCCATGGTGGAGGCCCTCCTCAGGCCCTTGATGATGATCTGTGAGCTGACACCCTGTTCGACATGTTCCTTGATCTCCTTGAGGATCTCGCCGGCGAGCACGACGACCGAGGTGGTGCCGTCGCCGACTTCGGCATCTTGTGATCGGGCAATGTCGACGAGGATTCGCGCGGCAGGGTGGACAATGTCGAGGAGCTTCATGACGGTGGCGCCATCGTTTGTGATTGTCTGCCTGCCGTTGGCATCCACCATTAATAGGTCACCGCCATAGGGTCCGAGTGTCGACTTGATGGTGGCCTGGACGGCGAGACAGGCGTTGATGTTGGAGATGATCTGGGGCTTGCCCTGCGAGGTATCGGTGCCTACGGCGATGGTGTCAGTTTTGTCAGTGGAAAAAGGGGCAAGGGGACAGGACGGAGGAGGAGGGGATCATGGAGGGGCTGACTGACCCTCTTTCAGGACAATGATGGTCGGTGTTTGGCCTCCGAAAGACATGATGGAGAGGAATTAAAGCTCGGAATAGTAGAGACCAAGCAACGGCGGAGCTTCAGGAACAAGGGCGCAAAGCGGGAGAGATGGGTGGTGGGTGGATGGGAGACTTCAAGTTTGATGTTGTGAGGCTCGTGCAATCGGGTCGGGCGTGGGTCTTGGCGCAGAGCTCCAGAAAAATATCGACGGGATGGGACTGAGGTAAGGAGGTGTGGTCTCACTGGTCTGGCCTTGCTGGCTGCTGCTGTGCTGTACAGAGGGACTTGTCCTTCCACAGGCGGGGCAACAGCAAGCGGGCACAGTGGCAGCCAGCAGTACTTGGGGGCTTCTTTCTTCAACCCCCTAGTACCAGCAGGCACAGGCGGCTCCATGGGTCCCATTGACTGCATGGACCCCCAGGGCCGGTCCAAGCTCCCATTTAAAGTGGAAGCAATCCCACTTCCTGTTCCCTTCAGTTCCATTCAGTTTGTCCTCCTCCTATCCTGCTCCAAAACCTCTGACTGTCAGAGGCCAGGGGATCCACTGGGCGTGCACGTGCTCAATTAGGCTAGGATATGCGGGATTTATTTAGATGCCAGAGCTTCGAGTCTACAGAACTAATCTTACATAGATATACACAATTAAGCCACGTTGAACCCCATATTAATTATTACCTATAATATTATAATTAAAAGTTTTATTAATTCAACTGTTAAAGCCATTGCTAATAACGACAATCGACTAAACGATTACTAATAATATTTACGACTAAAATTAATAGCGTTACTTTTAATAGCCCTAAGGATTGGCCGGCTTAGCAAGATGCTTTTATTTCTATAGCCTAGGACCTTAGTTTTTAGAAGTATATCGATCCCAATAATCATATGCCCTAGCCAATTGAGCTTATAGAGTTTAATATCGCTAGCTACTAAGGGGAGGTTCTCGCTGGAGAAATTAAGGAAGTTAAAAAGGATAGGGAGGCTACCCTATTTATTATTACTAAGCTTTACGGCTTTTATTATAAGCGCGATTACTATAACTATATAATTGAGAAATTGGACTAGCGTATAAAGGTTAAGACCTTTTTTAACTTAGGTATTAAGAAGACTATGCTAAATCGTTAGATATTTAAAATTATTAGAAATAATTATTATAAAATTAATTTTACTAAATGTATTAATTTATATGAATAGTACGATAATTTTAGTAAGTCTACTGCTTTTAACGATTATAAGGTAAAAAGGTTCGCCCGGGTTAGATTTATTAATATTTTTAAGCCTCTTAGTAAAGTTAATTGTAATTAATATAGTTAGACCTTTTATTAGGAGGCGGCTATAGCCTTCTATATTATTAGAGAAATTGTTAGAGTAAATGAACTAAATTTATAATTCCTAGAATTCCATATAGTTATAAAGTCGAATCCTCATATTATTTCGGTAAATAATAACTAATTTTAATATAATAAGAAGATTGAAAGAAATTCCAATTTTAGAATCTTTTTCCGTATTATAACTAAGGATTTTCGTAAAGCAGTAATAGCGAATATTATTTAGGGAAAGGGTTATACCCTTTTATTTAAAGGTATTACGTTCGTAATTATATTAAGTAGTAAATCCGTTAAAGAGGATATTCCTAGCAACGAATAAAACTTTAACTTAGAAGTAAAAGGACGGGGAGAAGCTATAAGAAAAAATAGTAAATTTAGGAAGAATATTAATAAAAATAAGCGTACTTCCTCTTCGTCCTTACTAACGAATAAACAATTGACGATCCCTATATAAATTTGTAAGTAGCCGGGCTATAATTTAAATAAATATTACTATATTAATTTATAATTAATTTATAAAGGTTAGATTGAAAGTCTTATTATTAAGAAGTGTATGTTTATTAATTTAAAGAAGGATAAAATATTTGAAAAGGCTATTAACCGTTTACTAATATAGTGGGACAACGAAAATTAAAATAATTAATTCTATAGACGTCAGGTAAGTAAGAATAATTTCTTAATATTTATAGCAAAATACAATATTATATATTTACCTAAAGATTCTATAATCTTCGATTTAAATATAATAATATATATCTTTAATAAGGTTAATTAATTTAAAAACTTTATTCTATTAAATACTAGTAATTACATATAGGTTGGAGATAAGCGGATTCTTATCGAGGGGTATAGTATTATTATAATTATAGTTTAAGACGACGTTGGAAATAGGGAGTTCTAATTCTTTAACGTCGTCCTAATATTGGGTATAGCTTATAACTTCGTTTCTTTAAAATAATTCAAAGATGAATAAATTTATTAAAACTATAAAAATAATTATTTACGTTCCCGCTTTACAAACTCCCTTATTTATTATATTTATTTTAAATATAAGTAATTTATTTTAGAGTATATTTTTCTATAGAATAGTATTAACGAAGTTTTTTTTTATTATATAGTATTTAAATTATATTAAATAGAAGCTTTAAGAGGGTGAACCCTTCCGTTGGTATTTAAGATTTGGTTACCCGGAATTTAAAATTTTAATTAAATTAACGGAGTAAAAATATACCATACGATTTAAGGGATTACATATAATATATTACGAATTATATATTAAAGCTAAATTGAAGCGCTAAGTGCGTAAAGAAGTTCGTAATTACTTAGAGGGCCCTAAGTTATAATTCATTATTGATTTCTTCTTTTATAAGAAAATAAAAGTAGGGGGTTAAAAGTATTCAAATTTAATAGTAGTCGTAGATTAGTAGTTTAAATTCATTTAAGTATATTACTTAAATAATAAAGAAGCTGAATTTATTATTATATATTTAGAATCCCTCTATATAGGATTTTAAATTTAATACTAAATTATACTTCGGGTAATCGAATACAATAATAAAATAATTAATAGTAAGAAGATTACTACCTAATTTACTACTAAGGGAACTAATATCGAACTTTTAATACCTTATATATAAATTCAAAACGGCGGCGTAAAGCGCTTAGGGGGTATAATTAAGATTAAAGGTATAGTAATATAATTAGGTATAAATCTTCTTTACGAACTGTAAATAGATATTATTAGAGTAGTTACATATTTATATAATTTAACCCCTAAGGCGGAATATTATTAGAAATTTCCCTAAGACCGATTCGAAACGTATTACTAATTTAAAAACGGTGTTATTCCTCTATTAAACCCCTCCCTTATTATTATATACTTTAAAATATATAGTTATAAAGCCTTTACTCTTATAATAAAAATTATAAAGGAATAGAATAAATTAATAAAACTTAACGACTGCGCTTGGATTAGTTATTTGGTTAGATACTAATTCTATTATTATTATATAAAATGTTATATTTAAAAGAGAACGAGGTTTTCTTTAGTAATAACGTTAAAAAAATCCATAATACCTTTAATATTTCCTTTAAAGAGTTAATTATACAATGAAAAAAAATTTGTTAAATGAATATTATATAAGTAAACGTCCTATAGGTCGAAGTTATACCCGTTGTAAATAATAGAGTTCTTAGCCCCGTTATCTAAAATTTTCTTATTGAAACTAAAAACATATTAGAGGAAGAGGAGGAATTAAGGTCTTTAAAAATATAAATACAATGTAAATTTCTAAAGGTCTTGTAAGTAATAGAAAGATAATTGTAAGGTCTAAAGCTTTTATTATTACTACCCGTATAATCGCTGTCGGATTTTTAGAGTATAGTTTTAAGATCGAAGAATAAGGAAGAGGGCTATTTTCTTACCCTTCCTAATAATCTAGTTATATTTCTAATAATTAATTTCTTTTATTCGAATAAACAGTCATAGCTAATTATAGATTAATACTTTTATTAGGCTGCGTTGTTCTTATTTATAAAGGGTAATCGACCTATAGGCTTCTAGGGAAATAAAGTTATAGATTATGCTTTCTTAGAATTAATAAGAAAGAGGGGTATCGATATCAATTCCAGCTATAATCCTAAATTAAAAATAATAAAGGAGATTATTAACCGCTATAGAGTAAAGGGTATGTTAAAAACCCTTTATCGAATTAATTTTCTACCCCTTCTAAAATATCATAGTAATTTCAATTTTTATTTCTTTAGGGAATTTTTTAAAGATATAGAGAAGGAATACCTAGACAAATATAAAGATAAGAAGTCTTAGAAGTAAGTTAGTATTAAGGAAGTAAAAGATAATAAAATATTTGGTTTAATATAAGTATATACTTATAAATTCGATTAAAACAGTGGGTTGTTTAAATATAAAATACGTTTAATTATAAATAAGGATTAATAATTTAAAGATAATATATACAAAATATACGTACCGATTTTAGTAATTAAATTATTTTGTATCTTAATAACTATAGCCAGTTATTTCAATTTTAATTTGATTTAATATAATATAAAGAATACTTTTATTAATATTATATTCGATAAAGTAGTATTTATAAGGGCTCCCCCTAAATATATTAGGAAAAACTAAGTATCTTAACTATTATATACGCTATATAGTTTATAGAAATTTCCTTTCTTTTAGTAGTAAGAATTTATTAAGACTTTTGTAATTCTAAGTGTAAACCCTTTTCCTATAGAATTTAATATTTTAATTAAAAATAATATATTTTTTTTTCTTTTATATAGATAATATTATTATTATTTATTAATATAACGATAAAGAGATTATTATAATTAAAGGGTAGAGAGTTACTAAAGTGGTTCCTAAATATTAAAATTATTTGAAATTAAGAGAAGAGGTTAATTTAATTATTATAATGCGACTACATTTAAAAGATGACAGAGAAGGTTAAATATATTAAGAAACTATATTTTATATTTATAATTAGAGAGGAGTTCCTACTTTATTAAAATAATATAATTCCGTACAAAATTTATACGTATTAAATTAAAATTAGTTTAATTCTTTATATTATTATTACGTTGCAACTAGGTATAGTATTCTCGGTCTTTAAATTTATTCGATTTAATTTGAATCCCAATCTAATATATTATACGGTTATAAATTAAATACTACTTTACTCTCTCATAATTTAAAATTACGCTTTTTAATTAAATAGTAAAGACCGCTAGGACTTTTATATTATAAATAATTTTTTATTTATAAATATATTTTTTTAATTAAAAGAATTGATAAGCGTTTATACTTAGACTCTTAAACGCTATAATCAATTAGCAAACTAATAAGTAAAATATAATTATAATTTTATTTATAGAAGCTAAGCTATTATCCTTTAATTAAGGAACTAAAGAGGTTATTTACGTTCGTTATTTCTTTAATGAATTTATTTTAGGATTTAAAGATTAAGAGGCTACACTTATAAACTATAATAATAAATAAACGATATAATTTATTATTAAAGAAGGAATTTAATTCGTAATTAAATTTAAGTATATTAATATATATAAGTATTAATTAAAGTAAGTGTAAGAGAGGAAGCTAATAAACGTAGTCTACGTACTTATTAAAGAGTAGATTGCGGATAGTTTTATAAAGAGCCTCCTTCCAATAATATATTTAAAATTCATAAAGTAATTAGGATTCGTAGAGTTATAGCAGCTATAGATTTAATTACGAGCGTTTAACAGTGGAGATATTGTTATAAGCCGCCCGAAGGGTATAGAGGATTCTATAGAGGAGGATTCGGGTAACGAATCGGTAAATATAATTCTAAGTATAATAAAGTAAGACTTTTACGAATGAAAATGTAAAAGCTACTATAACGAGGAAGTAATTTGGGAATAATATTATTTTTAGCTAATTTTAGAAGGATTTTAAGGTATTTTAGGGTATATTTGGGTAGATTTGGCGTAGTTTATATATTAGATCTAAGGGGGTGTATTAGAGGCTAGAGGATCTATTGGGCGTATACATACCCAATTAGGTTGGGATATACGGGATTATCTAGATGCTAGAGCTTCGAGTCTATAGAGCTAGTCTTATACAGACACACACAATCAAGCCACGTTGAACCTCATATCGATTATTACCCATAACATCACACTGACCGCCCGTCACTCCCCCACTGCCGTCCTTTTCACCTTGCGCTTGTCTGCCCCCCTGAAAGCAAGCCCCACCAACCCCACCATCACGTGCACAGTCAAGTGACTCCTTTTCAACGTCACTTCATCATTACATGTCCGAGACTCGATGGTCACTGTCATGCAAGTTCCCAACCACAATATTGTTTCCTTCATTTGTTGAACTTCCTATCTAATGGCTGGTTGGACTATCTACCCATGTGACATTCATGTTGTTTCTCTTGTCTGCCGGTCCGCTCTACGACTCAGTAGCCACGCCTATTTTGGTGCTGCCGCAGGCGAAGATCAGAACCCGACCGCAACACCGCAACACCTCCTTTTGTTAAACGATGCGTTCATCCATTTTCCCATGTCATCAACTAAAGCTCCAGGGTCAAGATGGCTCTTCGGAGCTCCTTCAATGCCGTCAAGCGTGGTTTCGGCATGTCCAGTCCGATGAAATTTCGTTAGGCGGCTTCTGCAGTGATGCGCGACTCAAGGTCAGCAAGGCGACGAAGCACCCACACGCAAAAAGTAGCCAAGCCAGCAATGTGAAGAACCTCCAGCGGAAAGTGGAGGAAGAAATGACCATCGTTACCGCTGGAATCGGTACCCAACCTCTCGAGACCTGCCTCGGCTGAAGCGATGCGTGACTCAAGTACAGCGAGGCAACGAAGCACCCACAAGCAAAAAGCAGCCAAGCCAACAATCTGAAGAACCTCCAGCGAAAAGCGGAGGTCGGACAAGGTCTTATGCTTCTGGTGGTTCGCAAAGGACGGTTTCTCCTTGGGGTTCTCCTCCTTGGGGTTCTCCTCCTTGGGGTTCTCCTCCTTGGGGTTCTCCTCCTTGGGGTTCTCCTCCTTGGGGTTCTCCTCCTTGGGGTTCTCCTCTTTGGGCTTCTCCTTGGGCTTCTCATCCTTGTGCTTGTCCTCCTTGGGGTTCTCTTCAGTCTTTAACACGGCAGAGTCAGTACTTTGCTTCCACTTGTTACTCGACAGTATATGGGATATGGGCAAAGGGCGATGGAAGAGAGGGTGCCAGTGCCTGCCATGAAGACGAGATTCTGGCAGTGTCAGACTTGCCTTTTTGCCCAAATCCCTCGCCCCATCAGGATGGCTCTCGATATCGCTGTCGTCCAGTTGATCGAGTGATTCTGCTGTATCAGAATCGAAAGAGCCCCCCCCGCTTCGAATACCACTTCAGCTGAGGATGGCTCTCGGTATCGCTGTCGTCCGTGTGCTCGAGGAATCGAGCTACATCTGATTCGAAAGAGGCCCGCTGTGAGGGTTGCCAGCGCGGGGTCGCGCCAGAGTCCTCGCCGGCCCAGCGGGCTGTCTGCTTATAGCGTGGCATTTTGGGCGGTGGATTTACGGCTTTGTTCCCACTCTTCAATGGCCGTGCTTTCCTATGAGGAAAAGAGAGGATGGTGGGAGACAGCGGAGCAGATATTTGAACGGCTACCCTGATGCGTGACTAGTGCCGTTGGCACATCCAACTGCCTCTTGGAAATTGTACCCTTTGTCCCATCGGTCCATTCACTTGGAGTCTCGGACAACCTGAAAGCGGCAAGGGTTGCTATGCCAGTGGTTACCGCAGATGGAACCTTGATGCGCTATCTTACGGTTATAGCGTGGGACGGAAGAAAGCCGACATCAGAGTCAACACAGGCGAATATGCCCTCGAAATGAAAGCTTAGCTTCGAGCACAGGCATCAGCTTCAAGTCCATTACCAGCAAGAGATGCAGTCTGCGGCTCATGTGTTCTTGTTCACTTCTTCCTGGCTACGCGGAGCACTCCTGCCCTGACAAGAACGTCAACATCTTGTTTCGTCATAGCTTAGCAACCTGGACTTGGGTTCGGGACCGGGGCGCCTAAGGTCCTTCAACCCTTCCCTTCCCCAGGTGGCTAAGCGGGGTGGCTGCCGTCACCTGGTAGCCGGTGTGTTACTTTTGGATGGGTCCAGAGTCAACATTCAACGTTCTGCAAACCGCCTCGACTTTTCATCCCATCTTTCACGTCCTTCGCGGGCCCCTCCCCGCCCTGCGTCAACCTCGCCTGGTGTACTTCCACGCCCCTCTACAGCTCCAGACCAGTGACCATCTTGCGGCCAGTTCCCAACCATATCATGTCCATAGGACACTCAGCTTGTGCAGTTTCCTCTACTGAGCATCGGCCGCTTTTTTATCCGGTTGGGAACCGACCACAGGAGCGTGAATGAGCTAGTGTGCGTGTGTCCGTCTGGGTGTTCTCGATGTATCTTTCGCGGGAGCCCGGCGACGCAACCGGGCAGTGACTGAAGCGCCAACACCTGTCCTCGCTGTTGCCTTCGCCTCGCAAGCAAACATCACAATTTCGACCCACTTTTCCACGTTTCGTCCCATCTAGAGACGTACGATTCACCTGCAACTTGAACGTTCAATAGCTTTTGGCTTGCTATTGTTCGTTCCCATTCACGCTGCGAGTGTTATTCAGGGTGGGTCCACGGATCAGCCTCCCAATCCAGTATTTAAATCCCCCTTCCCCCCTCCCCTTCTCCCTCTTCCACCTTCTTTTTGAACTGACGTCCTCAAGTCTCGCCTCTTTTGACCATCAAGTTCAACCACTTCGCAAGAGCATCATCAGACTGCTATACATCGCATCACCCACTCGCATCGTCCACATCAGTCATCATGGTTGGTAATAACCCTCACGCGGAGCAGCGCGCGAAGAAGCGCGCAAGAAAGGAAGAGCTGGTAAGTTGTCGCTTTACTACCATCAACCGCCTGCACCTCATCACATCTTCACCTTGCACTCACATCTTGGTCCTCTGATCGCACGTCCTCTGCCTCCATTCTTTCGTCTTCCTCCATATCACCATCACTTCTCGGGGCAATAGCTGACAGATATTCACTACAGGCCGCTCAGCACGAGGCTGCCGAGGACAGCGACGGCGCCGCCGCTTCATCTTCCCAGGTATGTCCATCTTTGTCCAGCCCAGTTTCTGTTCAGTCATACACCATCGTTCTCGTGTAATGCTGCCAAGTCGTCCGTGGGATGTAAAACCGATACTCGACCACATGCCCGCCGCCGGCCTGGGACTCTTAGCGCCTGGGTCGGGTTCAAGTTCGCGGGGGAGTCAGTTTTCAAAATGCAAAAGGAGTATCTCCTGAGGGGCCGCGTCCCATGGGGCAGTTCCATGGATACGTCGTCCACCCGAGCGCTGCGCGGCCTCAGCTCTACAACTTCTCATGTTGTCATCTGAACTCAGAGTTGTCCCACGGCGCATCACCAGGCTCACATATGTGCTGGCCGGCGGCATGCGCTTGGTCAGCGTATTGCCGGGCTGGGGAGCTTGTCTTGCGGCTGAAATGGCGCTCAGTAGGTCGCGTCTGTGGATCCTGCCTCGCGGTGGGGGTACTATTCGTGGACCGGTCTGGTGATGCATTATTACAGCTGGACAGATCCTGACTCTATCTTGTTCTTTTTGTCATATGGTCTACTCAGCTTGTGTTCATCATGCTGACTGGACTTTTTTTCCTCTACAGGCAATTCAGGACCAGCTGGTTCCTGCAATGCAGGAACTTGATATCAATGCGGTTCTCGAGAATAGCAGCCTGGCAGCCAAGGTCAACGAGCAAGAATTCACTATGCAGAACCAAGCTGCCACCCTCAACGACCAGGCTGTAGCCATCAGGAAGCAGGTCAACGTCCTGCGTCGCTTCGAGAAGAAGTTCGAATCCGTCGACGAGGACATCAGGACCGCGGTTCAAACCGCCAACGTTGTCCAAGACCAGATCGGCCGGTACGTGGGACCGGTCGAAAAGCACGGCCACCGCCTCGATTTTATCGAGGCCAAACAACAGGGCAGCGGCAACATGATGCTCACTTGCCTGCACAGGATGGGCGAGTTTACCAACCAACTGAACACAGTGCGTGCGGAGTTGGCCGCGACCAATGCAGAGTTGGCGACCACCCAGCAAGGGTTGGCGACCACCCAGCAAAAGTTGGCGACCACCGAGCAAGAGTTGGCGACCACCCAGCAAGAGTTGGCGGCGACTAATTTCGAGTTGGTGGAGACCAACGCAGAGTTGGCGGCGACCAAGAGAGAGCTGGCTGCCACCCAGGCGGAGGCAATGGTCTTAAACCAGCGCATCAATGCGCTCCAGGCTGTTGCTCAGTCCGGCTCACAGAACGCCTGAGTAGTTGGGTTGGCGGGTTGCAGTGTTGTTTTCACCTTGCTTTTCCTCGGCTGTCTAGCGTCACGTTTGCAAGAGATACCCAGTCATGTTTTCTTTCCATTGTGCCTCTCATAAGAGGTAGTCAAGCAAATCGATCATCAAAGGACTGCTGAGTTGCAGCAGACCGTTTTCCATGTATCTACTTTGCCGCCATTGCTTCATTGTCTATCTTGATTGGTGACGTACTCTCACGTCTGCCGGTTTCGAGTTTCACGAGTTTGGTGCTTGTATGGTGCAGCTTCGTAACGGGTCAGGTACGAGGGTCTCGATTGTACACCTTGAAGGTCATTGACAGAGATGCTGGGCTGTTCGCGTGATTGCTCTTGAGGAGGCAAACATTGTTGAAGAGATATCAGAGGCAGCATTGGCTGGATGTACTTGGTCCTGGTCATGATTAGACGAGGGGTGGTTGCTTATTGCGGTGGATTGATGGCAATGATGACAACCTATGATGGCAGTGAGGCTAGTGAGGGCAGCGGGCATGGAAGTGGCGGAGAGATTCACGAATGGTTTCATGAATGAGCTGAGCATATCCTGATAGAGATAGCAACTGTGTCGGAGACAGGTTCTTTTTCTGTTGTCGCGGTGCTAGCTATGGAAAGCCTTTCTCCCAGTTCTCGACGGCCGTAACAGAGCTCCATGTGTACGTGTAGCCCACTTCTTGGGTCAGCTCCGACAACTAAGGTACTCAGCCGCGCCGATCTTTGGTTATCTGATCCACAATTGGCTCCTCAGTGCGGACGCCCTCTCCTCTTGCCACCCTCACTGCGCCTAACGAACCTCTTCTCAGACCAACCACATCATACCAGAACTTTGAGATCCTATTACATACACAGCGCACCGAGGCGCAAAGCGACGAGGGCACCAAGCATATCTCACAGCCGACGTTCTAACCGTCCTCCGGGAAACATCCTGTGGGACGCTGCTGGATCGTGAGCAACCCTCACCTTTACCAACATAGCCTCGGCTTACCCTCGCACTAACGATTCAGCTCGCGATTCAGCTAGGTGATCCGGCGATCATTCGCCAAATCTACACTCGGCGTCGATCTGACCCTGTAGCTACTTAAACGGACCTCTCCGCATCCTTCGAGCATCGGTTTCTGTCCCATGCATCTCGACTCCTCCACTCTCCCACAACAGCAATAACGACAATGACCCAAACTCTGACTTTTTCCGAGCTCGACGGCGGTCCGCCGCCCCCCTGCGGTGACTCCGTATGGTCCATTATCCAGCACGGCATCGACTTTGATCCCGAGAGGGCTGCCGTCGTATCCCTTTGGCAGCCCGCCAGCCACCTTGAAGCCCTCGTCGGCAAGCCATCATGCCCCGCCAAATCCACGGTCGACCCCAAGCACCAAGACTCCATGCTGATCTGGTCGTACGACCAGATGCAGCGAGGAACCGCTCGTCTTGGAGCCATTCTTGAAAGATACAACGTGCCGGCCGATTCGACCATTCTCACTTTCATTCCCCACGGCGCTGAATGGTCGCTCATCATGTGGGCTGCGGCACTAAAGTGTCATACCCTCGTCAGTCGGACGATCCAGTTACTTCACTCCAGCTTGCCAGACGACCAGACGCTGAAGGAGTATTACTTCCGTCGTCTGAGGCCCGCAGTCGTGGTCGTTGAAGACGAGGAGTCCGCCGAGATTGTTGATAAACTTCGGCAGGTGTCTGACTCTGGCGGCGGCAGCTTCTTCTTGGGCATCTGCCTCTCCCCTCTCAGCACCGCACGCCGCGCATCCGGTGGTAACTGGATCTCCTTCGCCTCTGACATCGCCTCCCCCCAGCCGCCTTTCACCGAACAAGAGAGCAGCATCTCGACTCAACAGGTCCGCGATCGGCCCGATCGCATCTCCAACATCTTCTTCACCAGCGGCACCTCGGCCTCACTGCCTAAAGGCGTGCCGCGAACGACTAGAAACGTGTGCGCGGCCGTCGCTTCGCGCACCGCCTTCCATTCTCCCCGCTCCTCTGAGACTTCGCGGCCCAAAAGCGTAGGCCTAATCTTCGCCACCAACATGATGGTTCTCTCCATGACCGCCCCCCTAATCCAATGGCACATCGGCGGCACCGTGGTCATCCCTTCCCGTGTATTTTCCGTGTCTGCGAACCTGGAAGCCATCGAGCGGTGCGGTGTCACATATCTGCAGCTGATGCGCAGCCAGTTGGTGCTGCTGGCTAAACACAGGGACTTTGCTCCGCAAAAAATCCGGTCGGTTAAGGGTGTGTTCGTTAGTGGCGAGATCATCACGGTTGGGTATCTGGAACGGTTGCGGGAGATGCTAGGTGTTGGTGCGGAGGTACTATTTGTGGCTGGATTCGGTATGACTGAGGGCGTGGGCGCGCTGGATTACCCTCCTACTGCCCTGAAGGAGGGGATGCCGAAGCCGCTGGGGAATGTGATGCCTGCGGGAACGGCGACACCGGGGACGAGGATCAAGGTTGTTGATGTTGAGAAGGTCCAGTCGGGGACGATGCCGCCGCAGACCGAGCAGACAGAAAAGGAGTGGGAGGTGGTGCCACGGGGTAAGCAAGGTGAACTGCACATCTCGAGCGAGGCGTTTATCGATGGGTATCTCGATGGGTTTGCGCCGCAGATGTTTTACCGCGATAGGGAGGGCACGAAGTGGTTCCGCACAGGCGACTTGGCGGTGATTGATGAGAGCGGAATGGTGTTTGTTGTGGGCAGGGTGAAGGATATGGTGAAGAGCTCTGTCGGGTTCTTCAATCCTACGGCTATTGAGGAGTTCTTGGCCAAATATTTGTCGGTCGAGGTAAGTTCACTGCCCTCTTTTAGCTTCAAACACTCTTCGAGTGGACGGAATCGCTTGCGGACTGTTACTAATCCCACACAAATTTGAACAGGTCTGCGTGATCGGTATCCCGTCGCCTATGCACGGCGAGATGCCCTATGTCATTCTTGACCGTTTACCCGAGAATGTGACGGCGACAGACATCAACGAGATGTTTCTTCAGATGGTTGGGTCAGGATTCTCGCTCGGGGAGGTTTTCACACTGGAAGAGCTGGGGATGAAGACATGGCCGCTTACCATCACGGGCAAGGTGCAGAGATATCAGTTGCAGAAAATTGCTGTGGCGTATTTGAAGACGAAAGACACCAGCGGCTATGCTATGGAGGGTTGATGTTATTAGAAACGTCAAAGATTCTTTGCGTTCCTTCCGTCTTTGAGCGTTAGACTAGTATCATCAATAGACAAAAGCGCGTCTGAAACACATCAACCTAATACACAGGTGCTTATCAGTCCACTTCGAACCAGCCTGCACGCACCCCTTGGACACTACCGTTGGGGAGCTTAACATCCACCTGTAAGAGAAGAAAACCAGCTAATATTTAAAGCTTTCTAACACGCTCTTTATAGTGATCATCAAGCTTTTACAAAACCTCCAGGCATATATATAGAAAGCTTTGAGTGTTTGTGCGCGAAGTTCTTGTGACACATCGTGAACCATGCAAGTTTGTGAGGTCAATCATATAATGATCAAAATCGGACGTTCAGCGACACCAAGGCAAGATGGCCGAGCGGTCTAAGGCGCCACGTTAAGGTAAACCCTTAATCTTCTCCAAGAGTTCCGTGGTCCGAAAGGGCGTGGGTTCGAATCCCACTCTTGTCAAGATATTTCCTTTTGCATTTCTGTCCTTTTTTTCTTGATAGAACATAGTCCCATTTGGATTTGTGCTCGTCATCTTTTTGCAACATTATCACTCATGCCGTTGTGAATGTTCTTTATCTACTTGCTTCGGGACTTGGGCAATATTGTGTTCTGTCGCTTGGGAGTTCTGACCATGTTCCTCTGTGTACCCAAAGAAATTTTCCGTATCATGTACGTGCTGCGACATTCTGCACCAAACAACCACACTACAAAACAACACCCTCAACCTCAACAGTCTGCACCATCTCCTTCTCAAAATACGACCAAAACCTTGTGCCGCTAATAGTCGTGTCGGTAGAAGCAACATACCTCTTCCCCGTCGACGCGCCAATCTGCGTCGCCCACCTCTTCACCACCGCGCCATTCACTCCCGGCGTCTTGAACTTGGACATATCAAAATTGAGATACTGGGCACTCCCCCAATTGACCGCGACAATGACCAACTTCTTGGTCGCCGCATCATACGCCGCCGTCGCGTAATCGCTCCCGGCATCCAGGATGCGCATCCCCGGCTTCACATGCCTAGTAAACTGCGCCAGCACAAAGTACTTCTGCGTCGGCTGGCCGACCGTCTTCTTATCGTTGTCGGCGTCGACCAAGCCCCATCCGCCGCCGTCGAGCACCTGCCAGTACACCCACGCCGTCGGCCGCAGCCAGCGCAGGTCCAGGAGCAAGTTGCTGGCTAGGTCGTGGCCGGTCGCGTCGCCCTCGCCGTACTCGCTCTGCCAGAGCTTCTTGCTGTACTGCGTCGCCAGGCTGCGGACGGAGTCGCGCCGCCCGGAGCCGTACTGGTAGCCGTGGACGTTGACGCGGGCGATCTTGGCGAGCGCGGTCGAGCCGAGGTTTTGGAGGGTCTTTGCGGCGTCGTCGTAGTAGCTCTCGTCCGAAGCGGAGATGACGGTCGACGACAACCCGCGCGAGTCGAGCTCGGTGCGCAGGTGGTTGAGGACGGTGGCCTGGGTGGACATGTCAAAGTGACACCCTTCCTGGGTGCCGGTCTTGCCGTTCCACCAGGTCGCACTGGGCTCGTTGAAGGGGTCAACGGAAGAAAACGTGGTGGACCAGTGGTCGGTGAAGTACTTGGCTACGGTGGCCATGTAGACGGCGTGGCTCTGGTAGTTCCACGACTGCAGGTTGTCGGAGCTGCCGCCGTCGGAGCCGGACGGGTTGTGGTTCTTGCACATCCACCACATGGGCGAGTTGGAGAAGAGCTCGAGGATGTTGGTGCCGCGCGAGCGCGCTTTGGAGAGCATGGCGCGCTGGGCAGAGTCGGCGGACCAGTTTCAGCTGGCTGAAGAGGGGCTGGTGGAGGCCCAGTCGATCCAGAAACCTTCGATCTGGCGCGAGGGAATCATCTTGGGCGAGACCACCATGCTGGTGCCGTTGATGCTGTTCCAGCTGCTCGCGCCGGCGTTGTAGCGCGCGATGTTGAAGCCGAGCCCGGGCAGGGAGACTCCGTTGAGGGTCGTGGTTTGGGTCGTGAAGAAGATGTCGGCGAGGTCGTCACGCGTGCCGAAGGCTGCTGCCCACCAGGCTAGGGACGTACCCCATCCTTCCCAGGTTCCCCAGTTGGAAGAAGGGTCGATGGTGGTGGTGAGGTCTGCGAAGGCGAATGGGATGATGGCTAGTGCTGTCACCAAGAAATGGCTGACTGCGTGCAGAGAGCGAGCCATTTTGAGGCGTCCTTCGTTGCAATAGACTTTGAGGAGCTCGCCTTGTGAGTAAAGAGTCAGAGGTATGTTGCGATCCAGCTTTATATCTTGCAAATCGGCGCCGGGATCGATGAGGTAGGTAGTACCTTGATCTACAGTAGCATCGTGTGCATGACTTACAGCTTCATGCTGTGGTTGTACCCATGTTCGAGTGGCCGAGATTCGGGGGTGCATGTTACATCGCAGGGCCATCTCCAAGGGCAGGGTTACCGTTGACGTCCTGACGCCGTAACTTTTCCCGCCAATGCATCAGGGGTGAAGTTCCGATGGCTTTAGTTCGGAAATTGAAGCCCGGCAATGGCATTGCTCGGTACGCGGACCGAGAAGCGGAGTCAGTGCTTGTGATCTTGGAGTTGCGGGGATCTCGGCGTCGGGCCTTGCTGAGTTTCTTACCCTCGCATGGTCTCACGAAGAGTTACCCGAGAAATGCCCAGAGACTTCTCTTTGATCCATCGTACGAGTTGTCCTTTACCGTTCAACTTTGGACCGAGATTTAAGAAAACACGGACAAAGGGTCTAGGTATTTCTTACCCCTTCGGAGGGAAGAAACACTCTTGTTTCACTCCAGTGAGACCTCTCTAACAACAGCCTTTTCCTACCTAGAGAATAAGGTCTTCACATCCCGGACATGTATAGCGTTAGCCAAATATTCTCTCAAGTAACTATGTCTTAAGTCTTGAGTTGCTACGTACCACAATCGTTGTCGCATCTTTGGCACAGCTTTGAAGTCCATGACTTCCTCTGTCTTCACCTCTTGGCATTGTTCTGTAATACGACTACATGAGGGCCAGTTTCGCCCCGCCTTTTCAACAACCAATCATCTGTTCTCCCTCGTGGCGCAATTGGCTAGCGCGTCAGACTGTTAATCTGGAGGCTGTAAGTTCGATCCTTACCGAGGGAGTTCCCAAGTTATCTTTTTCCTCTTTTTCACTTTTGCGCTAACTATTTGATGAAAGTCATCGTTTTTTTTTCCGGGCCATTTTCCCTTTCTTCGTTGTGAATTATCATTATCTTCATATTCTTTCGTGACATCATGATGCATCCATTCCTCCTCACCGTCCTTGTTTGTTCCAGCCTCTCTAACCCTCCACCTTCTCGATACCATCTTCATCATACACCAGTGACGCCTCATTGAACTCCTCATCCTCCGTCGGCACCTCCAAATGAAACTTGGACATCAACGAAACCCCAACCTCCACATCGCCCTCGGTCTCAAACTCCAAAATGTGTCCGCCCTTCTGCCTCTCCTCATCGATAAAGTGCAAATGATCGCCCGCCACATTAATCCCCATCACGTACGCCGGACACCTGAACCCGATGATCGTGCCCTTGACCGCCTCAAACGTGTTTGTCGTCTGCCTTTCCGCAACCGCCACCAGGCGTTCCCTAGGAAAGCACTGACCGCCGGCCGTCCGCACCTCGATCTTCTTGAACGTCCCGTCCATGCGGATGGCGTGGAAGTGGTTCTTGCCCTGGGGAAATAGCTTGGACAGCAACGCTGACAGGTCCTTCTTGCTCGAGATGGTGGCCCGCGTCGACACGTCCGGGTTGAACCGGGTCACGGTCGCAAAGGGCGTAATCACCTCCGAGGGCGTGTGGATGTGCTCGACGGTGCCGTCGGACTTCATTTGGTAGCAGACGCCGTCGAGGACGATCATCTCGCCGTTCATGGACTTGAAGGTGCCGAGACCGTGGTTGCCGTGGTCCAGGACGCGCGAAATGGGGGTGCCGTTTGTGGCGACGCCGTGCATCAGGGCGGACATGAGGGAGTACTGGAAGACTTCGTTCTGAGCCATTCTTGCTGGTGTCGTTGTGAGTGGCGGTACGTGATTATGAGATGGTGGAGGGAAAGGGTGAGTGAAGGGCAGGTGGAAGGTCGCTTGAGAAGCGGGAAGCGATAAGGTATAAGTGAGACTGACGGTGTGTATAACGGGTACCCCGCAGCAGGAAAGCGGGTTCGGCGACGTGGACTTCGGCGGGGCGGGCGCGGGAAGCGGCGGGCCCGGAATGTTGCGGGAACGGTGACTCCACCCGCTTCCGGATGCGGCGATTGGCTGCACCGGGGCTGTTTGCTAGCACCGAATAACTCGATCAGCTCGATGACGACTCCTTTTTTTCACTTTCAAAAGGCAAGTTGATGATGCCCTTCAAGGAGCTCTCACGGTGTTGTAGCAGCATGGTGCATCGGGATAATTCTTATCTAAGCAACAGAAGCAGGTGAACAAGATGCGCGTTATGGCCATAAGACGCTATACACCTGGCCTACCTTTATCTTGGGCCAAAAAGAAACAACAAAAACATTGATGCGCATCATCGGATCACGAACCGATACTGAATGGATATAATCCAGTCGCTAAAAAGAACAAAAAGATGCGGTTTGTGTGGATCGAACACACGACCTTCAGATTTATGAGTGAAGTGGACTTCAGTCTGACGCTCTCCCAACTGAGCTAAACCCGCTGTGGAAGAACCAGCCTCGTTCCGTCTTGATATACCGAACCACGCAAGTTCCCAACAATGCCCCCTTCCATACGGAAACTATGCCCGCCTTCCTATAACTCCCCGAAACGACACCCATCCTACCATTAATCGATCATACAATTTGCAAGGCATTGAATCAATGTTGATTAGATGCTCATACCGAAGGAACCATCTAGTTGTGATACTCTCCAGACCAGCTTGGCCTCGATTCAAGGCAATCCGACTTCAGATCACAACGCCAATCGTATTACTGACGGCAAGAGGACAGGTACTTCCTGCATTCTTTACCGGGAGTTACTATTGAGGCAAGGGGAGCTTTTGAAAGCTAGAAAGTCAAACGCTCTTGGGGATTTTGCGTGTTCTGGTGAACCGGTACAGAGCGAACAAGGTCTTTCCAAATACGTGATTGCCCAATTTTGCTGCGGTACTTTGATCTTCCTCGTCACCTCCCTTTTACTCGGGACTCACGGCACTAGCATAGGTAAGTACCTACCTCTACAAGCATCCAGTCCCATTCCATGCGTCCAGCGAGGAAGTAACTCGTGCATCGTGCCTGATAGCACTCGTGACACGCCATCAAGTCGCGGCACACCGCGTTTGTCGATAAAAGGCAGTGTGATCATCTCGGACGAAACAAAACTCACTCGGCATTCTGTCCGCCGCATTCCCAGCAAGCAGCAATACTGGAAAAAACAGCAACATCAACAGTCAACAGTCAACAAAGAGCATATTTCTGATGGACATCGCGATGGAAGCTCCAACGGGCGCCTCCTCCTGGCGTAAGCAACTCCTCCATTCCTGGAATCAAATCAACGACAACTCAGAGCCTGATCCCAGGTTCAATCCAATTTATCTCGATGGCTTCAAGTCAGCTTACGAGGGCGGTCTCGATCGACTTCGCCTCTCCCTTATTTTATCCAGTCTCTTCAAGCAACCAGTTTACCTGACCAAAAGAATACCCTATGGACCTGGAGACGTTCTCGAACCAGAACATGTGTCGACCATCAAGATTCTATCGGCACTGGTCATAGCGGCTATAGTCAGTGATGACTTCTACCTCACCAACTTGCTGTTCGACCCGCATATCATGGACCAAGATGGGAAAACAACCATGATGTGTAGGAAATGGGATGGATCTGCTGCCATGCTCTTTCTCACCATCCTTCCCTATGTTTTGTTCTGCCACCTCGGGTCTCGGGACATCGGCGCTTATGACTACCCAAAGGACTACGGATTCTCGTTCAAAACCATCGATAGCTCTTACGTGCTCTCCTCCAACGGGCCATCGATCATTTATCTGCAAAAAGTCTTTCTTCCCAACTTGAGTTTGCTCGGTGTGCATCCGAGGTCCTTTGTCGACTTGTCAATGACGAAAGTGGAAAACCGATTTCCTAGTCAACCAGACCTCTACATCACTACAGAGGAGTTGGAACTGGAAATATCTATCAATCCTCTTGTTGCGCCGCTGAAAAGACGGATTGACTTGACCAATCGGGGGGAAATATGGAAAGTAACCGCTTACGCTCACTGCCCAGACTACGTCTCTTCGAGGTTCACGCAGCTTCTTGAGAACGAGATGTGCGCCGCTTTCCACTGCCAGCAAGGACCCCGTTATACGGGTAGTCAAGAGAACTCGGACACGGAGAAGCTGATTGAAGTGGAGCACGTGCAGTTTGTGAATCCCGTCCTGCACCCTCGCGAACCCGACCTCTGCCACGTTCTGTTTGTTGCCGAAGCCTTGGAACCGGGATGCACCAGAACCGACCCCCGAAACTCTCCAGAGCCCACTGAGTCATACATTGGATACGAGCTCACACGGCCATTACCCTGTGAAATTATTAATCAAGAAGACAAGGTGGGAGATGCGAGTACTTTTGTATCTTCAGACGAACAGGCTGATGGGTTCATACTTGATCTCATTCGAGATGGTCTGCGTGGACTGCGGGCTGAGCTGCTTCATGGTCATGCCGTGGACAGGCAACAAACCTGGGGGTTCATGTCGTTCTACCAGTTGATGGCTCCCAGTTATGTGGACTGGAACGACGGGAGCAGGAGAATGGTAGTCAAAGAGTTCAGGGAGGACTACTCTGGTCTATGTAAGTCATGAACCTGTTCTGCCGGACTTGTCCCATATAAACTTATGCATTCCAATCACCAAGAAAGAAGCTTCATTAACGATAACTCTCCAAGACGTAACCCCACAATCAAATTCTGCGGAGGAGACAGCTGGAGCCAGTCCCGGTACTGTCAACTGTTCGACCACAAGGGAGATCTTCCAACATTTCCGGGTTTGGGATAGAGTGAAGGATACCGAATCCAGATCGCAAAATACAGGTCTTCTTCGGAAAGGCCTTGGACTAGGTTGGTGAGAGGGCTGCTTCAGTTCGACAAGAGGCGCACGACGAACTAGCCAAGGTACACGGCCGTGACTTTCGGACGGTAAGATTGACCGCGTCAGTTGGGTAACATACGGTGTCGTAGGAAAGCGTGGACCCAGCGTTGAGAAATGAGGAAGCGGTATATTCATATGATAGAACAACGACGACTCGGACGGAGAAGGTATGCGTTCTGGTCGGGGAACTGAGCACTGGTCTTGCAAAAACCACATGTATACCTGTCGTATCATTAGAAGCACCGCAGATCTGTCACTGGAACTCACCATGGAAGAGTCAGTATAGTTTGCAATAGCGCAGATTTTAATGCTCCATGAATACATACAGTTTCTGGAATAACACATCGAACTGGGCGTCAAGTGTAGGTAGTGTATCATCGTGATACAAATATTTATTTGACCCCCGGTGGTTTCCCCAGCAATTATCGCTGCCGCCAAGCAAGCTTCACGGCACCCCGCAGTCTCCTCCACAGATCCCCCACCAAACAGGTTTGGCCCCTTGCAAGCCAGACCCTGTCAATCATGTCAATCGCAGTGTCCCGCAGTGTCCACAGCTGGTTTGTGCCGGGTGAATTGAGGGGAAGGCGTAAACAACCAGGAAAATAGGCTGAAATCAACCCGTTGCAGCCCACCCATTGCTGCTTCCAGTTTCCCGTGTCACGACCATTTTGCACGACGCGAAACTGGAATCGGTCCGTTCGGGAGGAAGTCGCGGCGGGTGAGCTTCACTTCCCTCCTCGGTACTCACCCTATGGTAGCACCATGGAATACAAATCGTCGTTCTTTCCCTTCGTTCCCTGTGACTTCCATCTCGTGATCATTTCTCTCATTTTGTGAAACAGCGTCAGTGACATCATCGCCTTCTTCTTGCGCGACACTCTCAAAAACAGATTCCTTTCTTTAACCACCACCACCACCATCACCAGCACCAAACCAGCCGAGTATAGCAGCGCATATTGGCAACAACAAGACAGCCAACATGTCTGACGCAACCGCCTCCTTCATCCCCTTGGGAGCCATCATCCAGTCCCTCGACGTCGCCGGCACCAACATCGTCCTGGGCTTCCCCTCCCAAAAGGCCTACGAGTCGCACAACGCCTGCTTCTTCGGCGAGACCATCGGCCGCGTCGCCAACCGGGTCAAGGACGCCAAGATCGACTCCCTCAACGGCGGGCAATCGTACACCCTGGCCGCCAACAACGGGCCCAACAACCTGCACGGCGGCGTGGTCGGCTGGGGCAAGAAGGTCTGGAACGGCCCTACTCCCGTTGGCGTGAAGGAGATCCCAGCGTTCGAGGGCAAGAGTGACAAGATCGACGGTGGTGAGAGCGTCCAGTTCACGCTCGTGAGCGAGGACGGCGACGAGGGGTTTCCTGGAAAGGTGGAGGCGAGGGTCATCTACACGGTCAGCAAGGAGAAGAGCGAGGATGGCAAGGAGAAGGTTCTGTTGGGCATTGAATATGAGGCGGAGCTGTTGGATGGTGAGGTGGAGGAGACGGTCATCAACATGACTAACCACTCGTATGTATTTCCCGTCGTCTTCCCGGTGGACCAGTGTAAACCGACAGGGCTGACGCTCACAACAACAACAGATACTTCAACCTGAGCGGCGGCCCTTCCATCGAAGGCACCATCGTCACCCTGGCCACGAACCGATACCTACCGGTCGACCAAGGCGGTATCCCCACCGGCGGCCTCGCGCCCTTCCTCTACCCTGCCGACAAGGCCGGCAACATCCCCTTCACCCTCGGTGCTGTTGAGCCCGACATCGACGACTGCTTCATCGTCAACGAGGACCCTTCGTCGGTCCCCATCGACACGCGCTCGCTGCCCCTTAAGAAGAACCTCAGCGCGTTCCACCCCGAGTCCAAGATCCACCTTGAGGTGTACAGCACCGAGCCCGCCTTCCAGTTTTACACGGGCAAGTACATCGACATTCCCGCGGTGGACGGCGTTCCCGCTCGCAAGCCGCGCAGCGGCTTCTGCCTTGAGCCCAGCAGGTGGGTCAACGCTTGCAATGTGCCCGAGTGGAAGGGGCAGATGTTGTTGAAGAAGGGAGAAAAGTATGGGTGCAAGATCCTGTACAGGGCGTGGAAGGAGTAAGGATGTGTGGTGGAGTGGAGGGAAGTGTGAAAAATATGCGAGATTAGATACCAAAAAGGAAGCACGAATGGAAGTAGTTGTACACACAATGATACTCTTACAATTCGCTCCCTTGTGCATCTATGGTGATTGCAAGTCAGCGTCAACTGAGGCATTGCCAGAGAAGAACGTGGTAAGAATGGCGAAGAATCATCACTAGCGTCCTATTCTCCATCCTCATCCTCATCCTCATTCTCCAAACCCGCTTCATCAATTTCCCTTCCACCCTCAACCGGCGGCGGTGCGGGTGCCTTCGCCTCCTGCTTCCTCCACAACCCCGCCAAAAACTCACTCGTACTCGCCTCCTCAATCCCCTTATCCTCCCTCTTCCTCAAAAACCTCGGAAACCTCAAACTCAGCCCCTTGTCCTCCCGCACCAACCCAATCGCCGCCGTGTACGTCGGACTAATCGTGATATCCGCAAACGCCACCTCCCACACCTCCTGCGGCTCAAACCACACATCCGGATTGCCCCCCGCGTACTCGACAAACCCCGGCTTCGCCACATGCACATTCCTGGGCTCCCCATCGGAACTGAACGAGCCGTCCTTGTCGTAAAACTCCCGGTTGGCTTTATAGAAGGTGTCGGTGAAGCCCGACATGCACTTGCACACTGCTTCTAGGGATCCCGTTTCTTCGTTGCGCACGGCCAGCAGGATGGGAGACCACCACTTGGCTTTGCGGCCGGAGCCGTGCCAGGCGGCGATGGGGATCAGGTCGAGCGTGTCGACGCCGGCGGACGTGCCGATGTAGTCTTTTTTTACTTTGAGCCAGGAGTCGAGACGCTTGTCGGGCTCGTAGGTCGCTAGGAGGGGTTTGCGCCGGGTGGGGAGCTTCTTTTCGGGGATGGGTGGCGTATCGGAGGGGGTCGTCTCTGTTGGTTTGGGTTTGGGTTTTGCTTTTGCTTTTCCCTTGGGGGGCTTGATTGAGGAGGCTGAGACTGTGGCGGCAGCATCGGAGGTAGGGAGCTGCTGCTCTTCGAGAATTCCTGGGTCGGCGGCGTCGTCGGCGGGCTCGGGGGCTTCTAGTTCGGGTAGGTTGTCGAGAATTTTGACCATGATACCTTCACACTTGCTGTCAACGGCTGACTTGAAGAACTCGAGGACGGTTTCCGAGTCTTGCGACGTGGCATCAATGCTTTTGACCCAGGTGAAATGATGCGGTATCTCCACAAAGAGTGATCGCAACATGTCTCGTCGTTCTCGGAATGATCTGTCGAGGAGCGGCTGTCCGTTGAGATACATGAGGTCAAATGCAAACAGACACACGTCGATGGTGATGCTGCCTATAGCCACGTCTTTTCTGGCACGGTTCGTCAATGTCTGGAAAGTTTTCAGCTCGCCCGTGGCCCGGTCCACGGCGACCACTTCACCCTCCATGATGAAGCTCTGGACATCTTCGCCCCTGATTTTGGGAACGAGCGCGACCAGATCGGGATATTTGTCTGTCATGAGTTCAAGATGGCGCGAAAAGATGGAGACAACTCCCTTCTCGTCGCAATGGATTTGGGCACGCTGGCCGTCATACTTGTACTCGCAAGCGAATTCACGCCTCTGAAGTCGAGAGAGCATTTCTGACAGGTCTCTGGTGATACCCCCAAGCATGGGGCGCAGGGGAATGTGAAGTGTTAGACCGCATCGCACCAATAACTCCTCACACACACCTATCTCGAGCAGTACTGGGACAAGGTCGTTGTAATCTGGATGTCGGGCATACGAGGCCTTGACTATCTCTTCGGCCTTCAGATAGACCTCGGCAAGCTCCTCTTTCCTCAGCTTCGCCAGTTGATTTGGGTCCTTTGTTGGGAAGTCTGCGCCTGGAGTTTTCGAGAGAGAGAAGGCCCGAGCAAGGGCGATCAGCATGGTGGTTTTTACAGCTCCGATGCGCAACTAAACCATGTTAGCCAGATGACATGGCTCGGATAAGCTCAACTCACATGTTGACAAAGTGTCCTGACGACATATCTGCTTTCTTCACCTCCGCGAGCATCTTGGAGCAGCTTATCAACAATCCGTTGCTTTACATCACCGCTGCCCTGCCCCTGAGTCTTGGCTATTTTGACCAGTGACTGGAAGACCCCCTTGATCGTTAGCGGTTTTGGCTTTCGCAAAGTAAAGCTCTGTTTCTTCTTTGCCTCGAACGCAACATCGCCCGGGTCACCCAGCTTATCGTAGAGTGTCTTTAACGACCTATTGTCAAGGCCACACACTTGTTTGAGAGCCTTTGAGATAGCAGAACCACCCAAACCAAGTTCCATAGACACATACGGCGGGGAAATGGCGTTTGTTGCGAGCCATACCGCGGGCAGCAAGCTGGACGGATCTGCCTCAATCAACAATCGGATACAGTTGACCAGGGTGTCAACGATTTTGATCCTGCTTGAGGTACTGCTAACCAAGACGAAGCATCGTGTGAGGAGGGCGTAGGACGCATCGCCTCCATCAATGGCCCACGAATCCTGGAGTTGGGGGATGTACTTGGCTGGGTCGAAGGTCAACGGAGACTCGTCAAGTGGGATGGATGCTGATGCCTGGTCTTCTGCAGCGGCTTCTGAAGAGAGTGACAATGTATTCTTCCCTTTCGGCAGGGCCTTGGATGGTGAGGTTACTGTCTGTGGTTTCGACTCCTTGGTTGGTTCAACCGCAACTGTGTCCACGAACCCTGTTTCTGGCACTGGCACATCATGCGGGCGGACCTTATTTTCCCTTGGAGTTGACGCCTTTGCTTCCGCATCCCATTCGGCCTGCAGCTTTCGCGCAAGTTCCTCATCGGACAATTGCTCTTCTGATGGCCCTTTCTGAGTTGGCTGTGAGTCGGACTCCTTTTGCAAAGGAGATGGTTCCTTGGAAGCACCATTCTGCTTCTGTTTAGCAAAGAAGTATTCGAGACCTCTGCTGGGCACGGAAGAAGATTGCTTTGCGCCCGAGTTGAGTTTGCGTTTCTTGGCTGGACTGGACATGTTTTGGGTGGAAAAGTGTTTGGAGTCTGAAGTTCAGAAAGTCATGGATCAAAGAGGCTCATGATGGTAAAGAGTGACAACATGTGTCACAAGGACTCGTCGGTGTTGTTGATGAATGTTTGCATTCGGACAAAGCCGAGTTGATGACGTCTGCTTGATCGCGACAACGCGTTTGCCAGCTGCACGAGCCTGCCACGCGGCCACCTGACCGACCAGCTGTCTCAAGCTGTCGAAGCTGTCACACGCTTTCCCTCAACAATGTCAAGGGCCTCTTTGCCAAGACATCAACCCCACCCCTGGACCTAACCCCAATCGGGCTCTAGCGTTCACACACGAAAAACCAGCTCCATGAAAGGGCAGTGGTTTACGGCAAGAACCCCACCATCCGCTCTTTGATGGATTGAGGCCGAAAACTTGCGAACGCAATCGTGTCGACACTCTGCATTTGTCTCCCCATCAACTGCCAACCTCGCCGAAACTCCAGCACCGACCCCCCCGCGCCCACCCATCTTCTCCTCCTTCGCCCCGAAGTTAAATACCCCCCGACCCTCAACCAAACTCGTCCTACTTTTTGCCCATCATGAACGGCGAGGATCCCCAAGAGCGCCCCGACTTCATCCGCGCCATCATCAACGGTCTCGAGCGTTACAACCCCGAAGCCGCTGGCACTCTCGAGGCCTACCTTACCCAACAATGTGAGGAGAAGTTCTGCGATTGCAACGCCAACCGCGCGCTGCTCAAGCTGTACGTCGACACCCTCCATACCTCTTGTCTTCTCTACCCAGCAAGCAGAGACCTGAATGATGTGCAATGTCAACGTTTCCTATTACCTGATCGTGGAACAATATCCGCGAATGAAGTTCCGTTATTAGCTCTATCTGACAACTGGTCCTCTATTCACAACTTGTTGCCCTCCCGAGTCATGGTCTACAGAAACACCTTGATGAACAATGTCTTTGCTAACCACAAGCCTGTCTGCCTACCACCCAAACAGCTACCAACTCAACCCCGACCGCATCAAGGATGAGGTCATCACCAACATCCTCGTCAAGGCCATGACCCAGTTCCCCTCGCCCCAGTTCGACCTCGCTCTCCACCTCCTCAGCCCCTCGCAGTCCAACCCGGGCCCCAACTCGTCCTCGGAGCTCACCGAGGCCGTCTCCAAGCTGCGCGCCCTCAACGCCCAGCTCGAGGGCGCCGAGTACGCCCGCTTCTGGGCCACCCTCGACAGCGACGACCTCTACGCCGACCTGACCACCGACATCGCCGGCTTCGAGGACATGATCCGCGTCCGCATCGCCCAGCTCGTCGGCCAGTCGTACCGCGAGATCCAGTTCCCCGTGCTCGAGAGCTGGCTCGGCCTCAACAACGCCGAGGCCACCACCCAGTTCATCACCGAGACGTGCGGCTGGAAGGTCGAGGGCGATCTCGTCCAGATCCCCAAGAACGCCGACAACGAGGCGCGCAAGGCTGAGATCCGCGAGGACGTCAACGTCGACATGTTCGCGAGGGTCATCAAGCGCAGCTGGGAGGAGTCTGCTTAGGAGCCGTCTTCAACACTTGGCATTGAGGAGCCGTCTTTGTCACTTGACAGTGAGGAACCGTCTTTGTCACTTGGCAGTGAGGAGCCGTCTTCAACATTTGGCAGTGAGGAGTCGTCTTCTACACTTGGCAGTGAGGAGCCGCCTTCGTCACTTGGCAGTGAGATGCTGTGGAGCAAGCCGAAGCGCAACTAGGGGAGGAAAGGAAGGAAGAGATTTGAAGAAATGAAAGAGACAGAAGGAACCTTTCTTTTGAAACATGGAGGAGGGGGGACAACAAGAAGAAGAGGACGAGAAACAACGGGGGGCCTGATGTCAATACCCGTATAATTACATCCTTCTGTGTGTGTGATTGGGCCCCAATTTCTTGCATCTGGTAGCAAAAAAAAGCTCTGGCGTTTTTGGGTTTTCAGACAAACAATGTTGAAGAACGGAATCGGGCGGGCACGTTTTACCCCGTCACTATTGTTGCTAGCTACTTTACCTGTCTTTTGGTCTCGGAACAGACAGCCGTCGCGTAGAAAGAGGCAGAAGTGGGATTCCTGACCGCGGTGGTGGATGTCTTGCGGGTTTCTATGGTGTTTGGAAGAGCATACATACATGGTAGACTTTGTCAAGGGCGTCGGAATACGAAACGATGATATGACCACTTGGTAGTCCCGTGTTTGGCAAGTCTCGGCGTGACTTTGAATCTCCGTCAAAACGTCAAAAAGTGTATAAGCTTGTTGCCGTTTCAGCCTCCCAGCATTGTGTTTCCTCGCCCTCGTTTTGTTTCGAGCACTGGTTTGGTTCTGATCGTCTAGTTAACTCCGAAATTATCTTTCAACTTTTTGGCTCCCTAACGCCTTTTGACTGCCCAACGTTACAATACACAAACAATCCACCACAGTCCCTTTGCATCAACTCCGGTTCTCATGTCCATGAACAGTATCTTGAATGCTCGACTTATCTCATGAATATCCTCTCATGAGTACCCCTTTCACGAAAGTTTACCGCTTAACACTCAACTCCTCCCACTGCACACCCGCCCACTCCTCCACATACCCAGCCACGCCCCTCTCCGTTCCCCGCGGGCTACAATCCTTCTCGCAAACACCCACAATAATAGTACCCCAATCCATGCCCTCCATCGAGTCCTCCTCGCACTCCAGCTCCTCAATCGCATGCGGCGTCAACTGCACCTCAAACACCCTTCCCGCACCACAGTTTCCACACCTAGGCAGTTTTCCCTTACCCGTAGTAGTAGTCACCTTTTCATTGGTGGATGCAGCAGGAACATGCAACAACTTGCCCACCGCATCATTCTTGCTGTACAAGAGCGGCTGACCAGCAAACTCGTACCGAATCACTTGCTCCGGGTTCTGCCCGACGCGGTCGGCGAACCGCTGGAAGACCGCGTCCATGGTGGATTCGAAGACGTCCTTGTCTTCTTTTCCTCCTCCTCCTCCTGAACCTGAGCCAGTCTCGGTGTCGATGTCCATCGTTTCGATCTTTTGAGGCGGGAGAGAGGGGGTCGGGTCGAGGGTCTCGTAGTCGGCGTCCCAGATCCAGCGTTCGGGGTAGGGAGGAGGGAGAGCGGAGGCGTCGGTTGGCCAGGGCTCGGAGGGGGCCGCCGGGGCGGGAGGGGTCTGAGTCTGCTGGGTGGTGGTGTTGTTGAGGGAGAGGGTTTGGGCGAAGGTTTTGGGGAGGTCATCCTTTTCGGCTTGTTCTTGTTCTTGATGTTTTTGCTGTTCTGTTATTGTTGTTGTCGTCTCGGACTTCGGTGTCTCTGTTACTGCTGGTGTCTCCTGCTTTGGCGCAAACGGGTTCACAGCAGCAGATCCCTTGGGCGCAAACGGGTTCGAGTTCGAAGAGGCACCACCGCCTGACGCAAAGGGGTTGGTCTTTGCTCCTCCTCCTCCTCCTCCTCCTCCTCCGCTAGCAGCCGGCTTCGCGCCGAACAAAGCCTCACCCAGTCCCAGGGTAGAAGCCTTGGGCATTTCCTTCTTCTCCTGCTCCACAGCGGGAGTGTTCTTCTTCTTGTCCTCCTTCGCCGCGGGCGCATCTACGGCCACCCTGACGCCCCTCACGGCTCTGATGCTGCCCTCCTTCCTGCGGCAGCTCTTCCTCCGGCAGGAAAAAACGTAGAGGCGGCGCTCGTGGCCGGGAAAGCGATCGGGGAGTTCGGCGTTGAGTTGGAGGAGGAGGACCATGTAGTCCTTGCAGACCTTGCACCTGGCGAGGGCGGCCGAGGCCGGGGATTCTTCATCGAGCCATTCCTGTTGAAGGTTTCTTCGGTTAGGAAACGAGATGGACCAGGATCGCGAATGGATAAGGAAAATAACATACAGGACGGCCACCTAGGCGGCTGATCTTCTCGCCGTTGGAGTCGGCGTCGGCATAGCCTAGAAGGACGTTGGTCTCGGTGAACTCGAGATCCTCACCCTCATCAGAGGAGTCGTCATAGGGGGCCATATTTGCTGATAGACGTTCGGTTTAGACGTCGCAAGTTGGAGTGCAAAATGGTTCGGGAATAGGCTCAGTTTAGAGATGTAGAGATAGAAGCTATCAGGTGGATCACAAATATGTCAAGCATGGAATTTGGAATTTTTGGCGCCCGGGCAACTGAATTCCAATGCAACAGCGGGACCCTCAAAATTTTGGCGGGGTAAATCTTCAACGGGCCCCGCTATGACCGTGGGCCAGGTCCCGTCCTGTCCAGGGCTGTTGATGTGGCCCCTGCTCAGAGCAGCCAGCCCCTGAGGTGCTGATTATCAAGTGCAGTGAGCTCAGGGGTATGCGTTAAGAAACAAGCAGGAAGGACAGCATGAACATGAGTTTTTGACATTCGTCGCCATGAATTAAGTTCTTAAATAGGTATCTTACATGGAGACGAGTTATACAATTATTTAAGAATCGGGTCCGTCCATGCCAGGTCCAGGACCTCCGGCCCTACCCATCTGTCTCGCCTTGAGAAGCTCATCGCACAACAGCAGGTTAGATGCGATGCTGGCACTGGAGGCGATGCAGTTCCTCAATACTCTGAACGAATCGTAAACACCCTCCAGTGTAGGGTCCATAGGCTCGCCAGTCGCAAGGTCGAGACCGACAACATTGCCCTCGGCTTGCTCATCTTGAAGGGCAGCGACTGAAGACGAAGAGTTAGCATGTGCAAAGCTATAGGGGGGGAAAATAACTTACGGGAATCTTGAACGTCAAGACCGGCGTTGGCGGCAAGGGTCTTGGGAATAACCAAAAGGGCATCGGCAAAAGCCTCGACACCCCACTTGGCCTTGCCCTTGACCGTCTTTGTGAAGGCATCGCTCTTGAGGTGAGCAGCGCAGGCAACCTGGAAAGCGCCACCACCGGGAACAACACTCTTGTCGACAATCATGTTGTAAACACTGCGAAGACCATCACGGACGGCATCCTTGAGTTGAGTGATGGTGTGCGCATTGGGGCCCTTGATAAGGAGGGTGACGGACTTGGGGTCCTTGACCTCCTCAACGAAAGTGTACTTTTCCTCGCCAAGCTGCTGTTCGTAGACAAGACCAGCCCAGCCGAGAATCTCCGGTGAAAGGTCGTCGACGCTGTTCTGAGCAATACCGCCGCAGACGAGCTGAAGTCTCTCCATATTCCTCCTCTTCGCTCTCCGGAGGGCGAGAATACCGTTCTTGGCCAACACATCCAGAGACAGAGGGTCGATACCCTTCTGGTTGATGATAACAAAGTTCTTGGTGGGATCGTTGCCGCACACCTCCTTCTTGAGCTCGACAATCTTCTTCAGCTTGGCGTCGACGAAGCGGCGCTCACTCTCCACGAGCTTGTCCCTCTGCTCGGCGCTGGAGTAGAAGAAGCCAGAGTTGATCTCGGACTTTTCGTATTCGAGGGAGACATTGAGAGTGAGGATGTATGCGTTCTCGACGCGCTTGGGCATATCGGGATGGCGGGCGCCGTGGTCGAGGGCGAGACCACGGATAAGCTGGGTATCAGAGGCAGTGCGGTGTTGCATGGTCATGATCTCGATCATGTGGAGGTCGGGCTTGGCCGGGGGCTGGTAGATAGCGAGGACGGCATCGACAATATCGGCGGTCAAGCTCTGGGCCAGGCTGGCGCTAAGCTTGGTGGCAAGCGATGTACGGGCGACGGAGAGGAGGAGCTCGCGGTCGACCTCGCGAGGGAGCTTGAAGTCATCGAGGAACTGCGACAGTGTCAGGAGAGCTTCACGGGAACAAACAAAAGCGACGAGGGATGCTGACCTTGAGCGCCTCGGTCTTGGCGATCTCGAAACCATCAGTGATTATCCTGGGGTGAAGACCCTCGGAGATGTGACGATCGGCCTGCTTGAGGAGCTCTCCCACCAACAACACCACCGACGTTGTGCCGTCACCGCAAATGTCGTCTTGGGCGGTCGCAGCACGGGCGATCATAACAGCTGTCGGGTTTTGTATTTGCATCTCACGGAGGAGGACGTTGCCATCCTTTGTCAACTTGATCTGTTGTGCAGCGCAGGGCGGTCAGTATGTTGTGTTGATGGCATCCCCGCCTTCTCACCCCCTTTATGGAATTCGTACCTGACCGGCGCCATCGACAAGCCTGCATTGCAGTTGTTGTTAGCCAAAAGTCAAAGTCGGAAATGCAACAGGAAGCTTGCGTACATCTTGATGGTGCCCGAGGGGCCCAGGTTGGACTTGAGGACATCTTGGAGGCCCTCACCCGCGGTGATGTTGACCTTGAGAGCTTCGCCCCGCCGCTGTTGACATAGTTAGCAAACAACACATCCACCAACCCGCTCGGGCCTCAAGAGGCGCTTGACAGAAGGATCGTTCGTACCCGGGACTCGGCCTTGGGGTTGAGAAGCTGGGCAGCAGACATGGCGGATTAACTGTGGATGGGACGGGGATATCGAGATTGTTTGTATAGGAGAGATGTGATTGCAGGGCGGGATGTTCTTTGGCATGTAAAGGAGCTGTTCCCCGATCTTGCGTTAACTTTTTTTTCCGTGGTGTTCCAGTCCAGGCGTCGATTTGGGCGGAGGCGGCAGCGGATGGCATGCGGCAGGCAGCCCCTGTCGTAGGTACAGCTTGTGGTCCCGCTCCCGTCAGTGCTGGCATTCTGGAGGGCGTGCTGGCATGGAGGGGCGGTGGCAGGCGGTGGGATGGACAAGAAGCTATGACCACCTCCCGTACAAACTGAGCTGTTTCCACCATCAGGTGGCCTGCCCTGACGTCTCAAGTTAAGGTAGGTTGTCTGCGTATTTAAAAGATAGCGGCAAGATGATAGGTGTGTACTTTGTTCGATGAGCAAACACAGAGGAAATTGGTGTACTCACATATCACTTGAACGTGGCTTCATGCCACTTTCCGGCAGGGTGCAACGGCTCACTGCGACGGGAAGCTCTCTCTACTTGATACCAACTGAGCTCCTGCCGTATTCAAAATAAAGCTGCGACAAATGCAGCTTGTGTTACACCGCGGCTTTCCCTTGGAACGACTGGTCCGAATTTCAATGTCAGATAACCCAATAAATAGAGAAGTGTTTCCTTCCTCCATCTATTTCTCATACCTTCAAGTTCATCAAGTGCTCTTGCTTCTTCGCTTCAACCGATTCGTGTAAACGAAGGCAACACAAACCTACCTACCGCCACGTTCCCAAACACAGCATGAGACTGCCATGCGATTTGCAGTCCGCCGCTGCGGCGCTGCTTCTGTTTACATCGCCAGCTCTTGCCCGCAGAATCCCCGTTGCGATCGAGGGAGACAACCTCGAATCTAGAGACACACCGGTGCGACAGGTCGCCGTCATCGGTGAGTTTCCAGTTTTATCCTGATTCACATGGATTTTCTTTCATTTTCTTGATCTCTCTCCGTACACATCGTTCCCACTCACAAGAAGCTAATACACCACACAGGAGCTGGGGCAGCCGGGTCTTCCGCCGCCTACCACTTGCGCAAGTATGCCGAACAATACAACGTCGGTGTCAACATCACCATCTTCGAAAAGACAGATCATATTGGTGGACGGACTCTCACCATCAACCCCTATGATGACCCCTCGCTTCGACTTGAACTGGGAGCCAGCATCTTCATCGAGAAGAACTACATCCTCAACAAGTCGGTGGAGGAGTTTGGCTTACGAAAGAAGGATCCTGATGTAGGCTCCGACCCTAAAATGGGAATCTGGGACGGCGAGAAGTTTCTCTTTGAGATTGACACGAGCAGCAGCTGGATATCCCAGCTCTGGCACATCGTCTGGCAGTACGGCGTTCGGACCCCTAAGCGGACAAATGATCTCGTTCAGGAGACTGTTTCCAAATTCTTGCGCATGTACGAAGAACCGTACTTTCCATTCAAATCTCTGACACAACGCGCATATGATCTTGGCTTGACCTCTGTTACGGGGGCGACTGGCGAGGAGTTCTTGAAAACGAATGATGTAAGTTGCGGAACGAGTCTTGGTCGACTGTTTGACTGACAGTTTCCAGATTTATGGTGCCTATGCCCACGACATCATTCAAGCCAGCACCCGGGTCAACTACGCCTCCAATATTGGACGCCTCCATGGACTCGATACCATGGTTGCGATGGCGCCCGCAGGCTCGACAGCTGTTCAAGGTGGCAACTGGCAAATATTCCAGAAGATGGTTGAGAGTTCGGGGGCCACCATCATGCTCAACACCTCGGTGTCATCTATCGCTTTCGCGAAAACCGGAAACGAAACCACCACTTCCGCCAGGTACAGCCTCCGAGCTATTCATTCATCATCTCAGGAGGACACAGCCTATCCAGTGGAGTTCGACAATGTCATCCTCGCCAATCCGTACCAATTCAGCAACATCAAAATCGCGGATGGTGTGCTGGAAACCCACATTGATGAGATACCTTATGTGCAGCTTCATGTCACCATTTTCACCTCGCCCTTCCGCTACAGCCCCGGATTCTTTGGTCTGGAGAATCCCAAAGCTCTCCCCGGAACAGTGCTAACAACACTCGGCAAGAATGATAACGCGACATCGGGAGTGGAAGGCGCGGGAAGCGCTGGCTTCTTTAGCATCAGCATGTTGCGTAAGCTGGTGAACCCCAAGACCCAGAAGGAGGAGTACGCCTACAAGATCTTTTCTCCTGAGAAGGTCACTCCCGAGTTTCTCCGCCGTCTCTTTGGTGTCAAGGTCCCAGAGACGTTTGTCGCCGAGCCAAAGGACCAGTCAAGTGCTGAAGTCGGCCCCATTTCGTGGTACTATCCCCATGTGTTCTACTCGTATCCCAAGGCCGAGCCTCGCGTAACATTCCAGGACCCCATTGTTGGAACCGGCCTTTACTACACCTCTGGTATGGAGAGCTTCATCTCGACCATGGAGACCAACGCTTTGATGGGCAAAAACGTGGCGAGACTGATTGTGGACGACATGAGGGGAGTAGAGAGTGGAGGTGTCCAGAGTGGTGATGGTAGCCTGGCGCCAGGCCAACAGCTCAAGATGACTTGTGACAGAGCAGGAAGAGGCGCTGGTAGGGGAGGAGTGCGGAAGGCGGGTGAAGTTCCCAAGACACGGCCTACCGAGTTGCCCGAGATGCCGCTGGTGGACCTTTAACCCATCCCTTCGGGGTTTACACAGGAGTCCAGGCGCCTCCTGTGTTGCTGGGGCTTTCGGTTGTTTCTTGCTTTCCGGCGTTTGTCCTTGATTATTTATGATAGATGAAGAGCGAATCACATACCATTCTAGACTTGTCGTCATCGGCCTAGATCTCTACGGCTTGTGCTCATTGGAATCTCCTGGCATCAACGAGACGGCACAAGCGTCGTTCATGTTAGATGGTGGTGAGTGACGGTCCTTAACAGAGAATGGCGGCCTTTACGCTGCAAAATGTTAGGGTGTTAACAGTTGGACGCCTCCCTTTGTTGTTGAAAGTGAGACGAGATGAGCGGCGGCACGCATGTGACTCAGCTGGGCTTTGGCTGTCCGTGGCGTTCCTGTCGACAATCATGGTCTTAATTGGTTTAGAAGGACATGCACCGCCACGTTCCGCCTTGTTATGACGCAGCTTTTGCAGGTTCCTTGTGGTACCCTCTCCCCCAGACTTGAAGCTGCCTCTGCCCTGCACCTGAAGGTTCGTTCCAGAAGGCAAGGAAGGCCAGAACATGCAACGTCCCCACTGATCAGAGCGCTATCCTCTCTATTTACTTTTACCTTTCAACACCGGGGCTCCTTCCCTTCGACATTCACAATTCACAGCCAGCGATAACGCACCGTCCACGCCGGTTGCTAAGCTGTGAAACCTCATATCACGTCCAATACGATTAGTCAAGTATCATATTTGACCGACGGCAGCAATGTTTGTCCTCAGAGGAGGTAAGTCAATATGGATTCCCCTCCACTCAAACGAACCCTGAAGCACTCCCCCACCGTTGTGGCATATGATCGCTGGCGTTCAGTGGTGGGAGCATCCACCAGGAAGCAACGCTGGGCTGGCCCCAGCAACGCGCCCAATCTACACCTCTTGCCTTCCTCACGATCGATGGTTTTTTCAAAGACCCATTCACATTACCCAACCACGCGAACATCAACCCTTCAAAGCCTCGTTACGATCATTGGCTAACTTACCCTATAGCGGCCAAGCTTCTGTTTGGTTCCGGTAACAACCAGGAAACGCTAGTCGAGCTTCCTCAAGGCCAGCTCTACCTCGTCAGACCTCTCTCTCCCAAGGGATATTCCGAACTCCTCTTCAAGGACGCCTCGGCGCGCATCCGTCGCACAGCACAAGACTTCCAGTACCAGCTCGTCGTACAGCGAGTATACGAAGAGGGCGAGGCCGAGTTGCTCGCCGAAGAGGAAGGTGAGGACGCCGACATCGACGCCGACATCCTCGCTGCCGAACGCGACGAAAAGACATTCCTGCTCGACGAGGCCCTCCACTTCCGCGTCGAACAGAGAGAAGGTGGCGATCACGTTTTGGCCTGGCGCGACCTGAGCGGAGACGTGGGAGACGTCTACGAGTTTGTTTGCGACACCACCATCTCATCCTCGCTAGTCGACCAGTTCGAGCTCGCTGCCAAGCAGTGCCAGTACGAGCGCAGATATCGCAAGCCCAATACCTTGGCCACGGAAGAGGACCTCCAGCAGTTCGAGTTCTTTGACGAGCCACCGATCCCTCAGGCTAGCCCCATTCACAGCCCTGCCCTTCTTACGCGGTCAATCGACTCCATCGACGCCATGCCTCTACACTCGGCCAACACTAGCGTCAAGCGGGAGAAGGCCGCCGCAGGCCCCTCTACACCCGCCAAGTCTACTACTGCCAAGTCTACTCCTGTCAAGTCTACTCCTGTCAAGAAAGAGAGAAACTATAGTCCCCCAAAGGCCACGGTACCTCCTGAGGCCCGTGAGGTTATGGCCGCCGAGAAGGGCGAGCTTCACTTCTACGATTTTCCCTCGGGAGCATTCGTCCTCCAGGCCGACTCGGTGACAGCAACAGTCTCCGAAATTGGCAACTGGAAGTACTGGTTGCAAGTCTCGACTCCCGACCGCGAGTGGCTCGGCATTCCCATTAGCTCGGAGATCAACCCAGTCTTCAACCCCGAATATCTCTCTTTCATCTTCAACCAGTTCACGGACGATGGCTCAGCGTATTCGTGGCTACTGCGCTTCAAGGACCAGCCCACCCTCGACCGATTCCAAGAGGGTTTGACGTCTGCTCTCTGGGAACAGCAGAATGAGATGAAATGGGCCAAGATCAAGGAGACCGAACAGAACTATGTTCTCGATGCGTTCAACGACCTGGTTCTTGAGGACCAGCATCCTGAGGAGGAGGAGGAAGAAGAGGAGGAGTTTGAGGATGCCGAGGATGGTGGTCCCCAAAGCGAACACTACGACACCGACGAGGAGGATGATGATGTTGAATACAAGCCCAAGGACACCGACACCAACAAGTCGATCGCTGTTGGTTACAAGCACGATCGGTCGTTTGTTGTCCGCGGCTCCAAGATTGGTGTCTTCAAGCATACGCCCAGCAACCATCTCGAATTCAGCACAAACATCTCCAAGGTCGAGACGCCAAAGGGCGAGCTCTTCTCGCCTACGAAGGTCATGCTCCACAACGAGGATCGGAACCTTGTCCTCCAAAAAGATGGTGACCCGAACAAGCTGTATCGCATGGATCTCGAGTACGGCAAGGTTGTCGACGAGTGGAAGGTTCATGACGACATCCCCGTTGTTACCTTTGCACCCGAAAACAAATTCGCCCAGATGACCCACGAACCTACCTTCTTGGGTATTAGCCGAAATGCGCTCTACCGTATCGATCCTCGTGTTTCCGGAACCAAGCTTGTCGACAGCCAGCTGAAGCAGTACGCCAGCAAGAACGACTTCTCTGCCCTTGCGACTACCGAGAAGGGTTATATCGCCGTGGCATCCAACAAGGGTGACATTCGTCTGTTTGACCGCCTCGGTATCAACGCCAAGACCCACATCCCCGCTCTTGGTGAGCCCATTCTCGGTCTCGATGTTTCTGCCGACGGTCGCTGGGTCCTTGCCACGTGCCGCAACTACCTCCTGCTGGTCGACGCCCTGCAAAGGGGAGGTAAGAATGATGGCAAGCTTGGATTCGAGAAGTCCTTTGCTGCCGACTCGAAGCCTCAGCCACGCCGTCTTGCTCTGACTCCCGAGCATGTGGCCCAGTTCACCCATGAGACTGGCAAGCCTGTTAACTTCACGCCTGCCAAGTTCAACACGGGTACCGGAACTGAGGAGACCAGCATCATTACCGCCACTGGTCCGTATATCATTGAATGGAACCTTAAGAAGGTGCTCACCGGCAGGAAGACACCGTATCTCATCAAGCGATATACGGACGATGTCAAGGCCGACGACTTCAAGTTCGGTACAGACAAGAATGTGATTGTCGCACTTCCACACGAGGTCAACATGGTTGATCACACTCGTCTCAAGAGGCCGACAAGAGAGAGCATTGCCGGCGATTTCCTCAACGCCGCGAGGGGAGGTTCGGGTAACAGAGTCGGTGGTCCTCGGACGCCGGCTGTTCAGAGGCTGAGGAGGGAAGACATCGTCAACTCGCCGTACTAAACGGTATTTGAGATGGAGGGTTTGCAATGATTATCGATGACTTCTTTTTTTTTCTACGGTACATTCAATGGATGAATAGGTGGAGAGCTGCCTACTTAACGACACGATTATGATGGGGACTCTGATGATGCCCAGGAGTTTATGGTTTCGAGCTGGTTTATGTTTTGTCTGAGCGGCTTCTGGAGGTTTTTGTGATGGATTGGAATGAGCTGTAGGGTTTCATTCAGTAGCTAGGTATGTAGCAAGATCTATGTCTGTCTACTTGTTTACCACTCATGACTCCTTGGAGATGTGTATCGATATCAGCACCCCAAAACGATCGACGTAAGTGAGGAGGCCGTCCAGTGTGTGCTCCTGCGAGTGCTCTGTCGTCATTTCCAATTTACCTTTACCGGTATCCCTTCCCGCGATCTAGATGTGGCGTTGTTCGGGCAGGTGACACAACGGGATGAGATCATTCGCTCCCGCCCTGGCCCAAGTTTGGACATGAATTCTCCGGACAAGTTCCGCCGCAGCTCCTGGTAAAATAAGTCCACGCTTCTGAACGCTGCCAACTAAACGTGACGTGGGTACGGGTAGAATGAGATCACCATAGGCAAGCGGGCTCAACAGGTTTCTTCCTCTTTGGGGCAAATGTTGTGGAAGAAAAGGCAAGAATGACTGATTGTGGGCTTTGTGAACTGACGTGGTATATAACATTGATGTCTGGAAGAACATCTGATGGCAATTCATCACATCACCAACAACACCAACTTTCACACGATTCTCCCTTGCTTCCCTATACACGTTAACAACTATAACCCTATACTAACTACACCAAGAACAACCTAGTATAGTCTCCCAACATTTATACCAGACAACAACATGTTCTCCTCAACCGAGCGAGCAACTCGTCGCGCCAGCGCCGACCAGACAACCAACCACTCGGCCGCCACCATGAAGCCCAACCAAACCTTTGGCGAACATCCCGCCTCTGGCCCAGCACCCTCCACAGCCGGCTTCCACAAGCACGACATCCTCAACAAGCTCGATCCCCGAGTGGACAGCACCATGGATCATCAGCCCGTCGCCGCCATGGCCACCGCTGAGGGTACCTACGGACACGGTCCTCACGAACCAGGTTCCCATCACCACCAACACACTGGCATGGGCCCAAGTATGCGCGGCGGCGCTGGTTCTTCCACCACCACCACCGGATCCCATCATGCCTACAACCAACAACATCAGCAACACGATGCGGTGCCCGAGGGTGGTGGTTACTACGGCCCAACACACTCCTCTCGCCTAGCCAACACTACTCTCGACTCGCACGTCGACGACCCCAACCACAACAACCGGATGGATAATCCGAATAGCGACGTTCCAGTTCCTCCGCAGCGTCACCCGCACCGTCACGGGTTTCATCACGGAGTAGACGTGGCTACCAACGCTTCTACCGTCACCGCCGCAGGGACTGGACACGGGCTCGGTGCGGTGGGGGCGCACCATAATAACCAACATCTGCCACAACAGGGGCATGCGACGACAGCTGGCTCTGGCTCTGGCTTTGGCTCGGGACATCACGTACACGACGTGGGTGGCAGTTCGAACACAACGGCAAACTTACCGGGCCCGGGATCAAATACGGCCGGACCACCGCATGGGAGTGATTTGTTGAAATAAACTGGATCCGAGGGTTGATGGTCAGGGGACTAGTCACGCTGGGTATTGAGCTGGGGGTTGAACTAGCTTGACTAGTTGAGGGTTTGAGAGCGTTTGAGGGGGTTTGAGGGGATTGGAGGGGAAGGATAAGGAGTGATGGTGAAGTTGTGAAGTGGTGAAGTCGTGCGGACAGGGAGGACAGTGAGGTCGGTGAGGTGTCAGGCGATGAAGTTATACCCAGTTTGTTTTTGTCGGATTTCGGTTTTATAGACACTGTTCATGAGTGGGCGAATGGGAAGAGGTTGGAGGTTCAGACGTCAGAGGTCAAAAAGGAGAGAAAATATACCTAGATAGCCCGAGAGAGAGAATGTTGGGAAGGAGGGTTGTGATTGCTATGGTTAAGGTATGCTGATGAAAGGAGGTAGTGAATGAATTATTCGCATCCTTGAGACAACTCTGGATTGCTTTCGATATTGCAGCTGCATAGTCCGCTCTTCTGATGTCAGACATCCATCCATCCAGCTTGTGTGTGGCCTTGTGATTACCTGGGCTACAATGACTGAAGTGATCCTCCAGAGAAGAGAAAGCAATTGACCCTAACTATTGGAGCTAAAGACTCCCAAAACAAACCCAATACCGTAAGAGGTCAAAAACTCCAGAAGAGTGGTGAACCATCCATTCATTCCCGGCAAATGTGACCCCAGCAGAGAGTATGTTGCTGCCGCGGATAACATTCGAAATGCGAGTGCGGCTGCTGCCTCTAGGTATCATATATCGCAGTGGTTGATAGGGTGGTAGTGACTGCAGTTCACCGAGGCATGAATGGGTTGTTGGGTGCTGGAGTTCGGCTTGTCAAGTTTCTCATCGTTGTAGTAGTGTTGCCCAAGCTGAAGAAAGACACCAGCTTGCTGGCTATCTGTAACATGTTTTTTTTTGCTTTGAAGTTGGGTGTTTCATGTTGGCAGGTTGGAAAACGAACGGTATGGGAGGTGGAGGAGGGTTGTGCCGTTCGTTGTCTTGCTGGGAAACGAGTGTGGCAGAATGCGAAGGCCAGGTTTCGTATGCCATAATTGAACTTCTCGAAGAGACGGGAGGTGACGAATCCAGTGAGTGGTCTTTCGCTTTCAATTCTCTTTTCGACCTCTGCCCAAACCGCCGCCTGTCAGAGCAACCCCTCCCACCCCCCCACCCCTTCTGCCGATATTCTAAGCGCTTCTTTACATGCTGCCGATATTCTAAGACCTTCTTTACATGCTGCCAAGGTAGCAGCTGAAAAGAAGGCGACTCAGGGATGAATAAAGATCAAAAGAGGGAATCGGTGACCAAGTAAAAGAGAGAAAGAAAGAAGGTCGAGGCAGCGAGTGTTGGAGTACCACTCGTTACCTATATACTCATTTCGTTCCTCATTGTGCCATCCCATGGTCCAGTAAGAAAAGGATAGGCTTACGGCAAATTTGGAACGATCATTTACTCGAATAGGCATGTATGCATTCGTCTCAGATTTTCTGTTACACAGTCAATTGCCCCCCATCCCAATGGAAGCCAAGCCCCGATTCGCCAATCAGTAACGAGTCGGCCCAGTTGCCATTCAGGAAAACCCCGAGGAAGCCCCAAATGCAATCAATGCACAGCCATCCATCCGATCAACAACATTCGCCCCCCCTCTTCTTCAAGCCCAGCCCCAGCCCCAGCCCCATTCTCCCCCTCAATGAAGTAGCCGAACCACTCCTCTTGTGTTGTCCCGCTATAGGATTTACCTCATCATCAACACTCAAGATAACTCCATCCAATCCAATCCCAAGTCCAACACCAACTCCGACTGATTCCAATCTCGACATCATGACCTCCATCTCGGCTGGCAACGGCGCCGTCCTCGGACCTTGCCCCCCTAACCTCCCTTGGAGAAGGTGACCGTCGATTGCGTTTGTTTTTTCCGAACCAGCGCGGTTGGTGCCATCTAGCACTGTGGTTGGCTTCTTGATATTGGTAGAGCTATTCTCTCCGACTTCAAGGTTGACAGGCTTGGAGATAGAGGCCGGTAAAAGCACCTGATCCCATGGCGCGATGTTCCTTGGGTCTGTGGCTGGTGCTTGACGGCGGCGGTTGGTGCTGGTGCTGGCGCTGAGTGTACGACTCAGAGCGGGATGATGGAGTGTTGTTGTGGTATTGTCTTTTAGACGGGTGAAGAGGTTGCTGCTGCTACTGCTCTTGGTGGTGTTGCCCGCGGTGGAGGTGGGAGTGGGGGTAGAGTGAGCGTCGGTCTGGAGAGTACCGGAGGGAGTGAGGAAGGAATCGAATGTGTGGGGAGTGGTGGTGGTGGTGGATTTACTTGATTCGGGACCTTTGGATGTTGACTTAAGCTCTGGCTCGGACTTGGAAGATGTGATTTTTTGAATGGTAAGCTTTGGGGCTTTGGTAATCGATATGGTAAGTGCCGTCGAGGGCCCCAGGCGGCGAGTCAAGAGGTCGGGGTTGGATGGCTTGACCTGGTCAACTGGGGTCGGTAATGTCGTGATGATTTCGGGTGGAGGAGGGCTGGGTGCCAGTGGGTAGTGGGCTGGTTTTGAGAACTCGTTGGCGTCCCCCAGGGTTTTAGTGCTCGTATCAAGCCCGGTTTTGAGTGCCTTCAAGGTGGGTTTGGCGTGTGGCTGTAACGGGGGTTGGCTTCGACTTCGACTCCGACTTTGACGGTATGCAGCCGGGCTAGCTGGGAGGCCTGGGCTGATGAGCGGACGTCTCTTGCTGCTGCTGGGAGGAGATTGGTCGCAGGTAATGCTTTTGTTGGGTTCACTGCGACTGTCTAGGCTCCCGCCCGTGCTTCGATGTGTTTTTCTGGTTTCTGTCTTCAGAGGTGATGCTGACTTGTGCCGCTTGATGGGACCGGAGTTGGGAAACCTTAGGTCGAGGTAAACTGCGGTGCTAGAAGGTCTGTACAAGGACTTCTGACTTGCGTGGTTGACCTCAACCTCGGATTCGTTCTCAGAAGCTACACAAGTTGTGTTGGATGTGGTGGGAGAAGAAGGCTCGGAAGATTCTATCGGGCTTGGAACTTCGTCTCGTTGGCGGAACTCAAACTCAATCTGCTGTATGGCGATGTGCGTATGGAATGGGCAAGCAAGAACGTTCCCAGACAGCTTCTGGAGTTCTCTAACCTCGGTAGATTCGCCGATGGGACAGTAGCTGTGGCCGTTCTTGATGGCAGTTTTGCATTTCAACCATTGGAGGTAGTAGTGTCGTCGTCCTTTGGGGCATCCGATGTAGGGGGTGTAACAGAAGGTGCACATCTTGAAGGCTATAGTGAGCCGAACTGCGTTCGAGGTTTGTAAATAGGCATTGGATATATTAACTGGCTATGTGAGGCTTTAGCTTCCTATATGTATTTGACATTTCCAGACCAACCGGGGTTGTTGATAACAGTTAGCGCTCGGGAAGGTGTCCGAGTTCGAAAGTGTAAAGCTACACTGTACTCAAAGTAAGTAATTATTCAAACCGGGTCAATTGAAGAATGTGCCGACTGGAAACCCAAGGCGATGGTCCGGGAAGGGTCCGTAAGCGCCCGGAGTTCTTCGCCATGAGGTCGTCTGCGAGTAAGCGCGCCGGCCATCATAAGCGCGGTTGCTCCCGTTATGGCTACCTTGTCCGAACTTGAACACCACGTCGAAGACATCGACGATCATTGTAGAGCCCGGCGGAACATGGTGAGTTTTTCATTTTCATTCCGTTCGATAAGGTTCGCGGGTTGGCGTTGACTTGTTCCACCGACTCAAACATTCTGGGACGAACGGAGGTTGAAGAGACGAACTTGAACGGAACTGCACTGTTGACTCCCTGTTGTTGTGCGTTCGCTGGCGCTGTTGCGGGCCGGGCGCTATGTACAGCGAGCGCAAACGATGGTGATTGGTCAGGATGTTATGCGGCCGCGGCAGGCAAGGGCTCGGGCCACGGTCGAAAAAGCAGGCCGGGGCCCGCGATGACAGCGGACGAAACAGTGAACAACCTCATCCAAATCCAGCGATCACGTCTCACCAATCTGCGCTGCACAGCTGGCACTTACAACTCCATTCATTCCTCACAAAGCCGCGGTCCTGAAATCTGAATTCACATACTCTTTACTTGGATCGTGCCGCGCAGAGACAATGACGTACCAGACGATTCCGTATGGGGGGAAGAACCGAACCGACTTGAAGAGGAGGAATTGAAGGAGCAAAAAGGAAGTCATTCGCAGATGCGCCTCATCTCTGGCCGGTGAACTTTCAGTGGCCCTCATCCACTGCATTTACTCTTAGTGCACCTCCCCCTCAACAACAACCAATCTCACCCAGTTTCACAAGAAAAACATGAGTAAAGGTCAGATGCGCATGTGTAAGTCGTTGATTGGTATCATGTTTCTATTATACATTAGGGAAATAGTAATACTAAGAATAGTACAGTCCAGCTTCGTCTCTCGCTGCATTACCATCATCATCATGTCGTTGCGTGACTGTAGCAGTCTCCGTCGCTGTGGTTTGGCGGTGGTCATCATCATTCATAACTTCATCAATATCGTCTTCCCATCAAGATCATTTCTTCGGCAGGGAGGCAGAGCCATTCATATGTGGCCCCAGGTTTTCGACCCGGCCACCTTTCATCCATCACACTCTTTTCCCCTGATCAACCTCTGGATTAAGAAACCTAGTATCTCGACCTCGACCTCGACCGACTCCTCCGATCAGGGTACGTGTACACAGCCGCCGGTTGTACCGGCGTAGCCACATACATCTTATCGTCATACACCACCGGTCTCGACCTCGACCTCGACGAGTGTCTGTGATGGTGGTGATGGTGGCCGCGCGAGCGTGAGCGGTGCGCCGAGCGTGACCTGGAAGATCGAGACCGGTACATGGCAGCGGGCGGCATGTCGGGGTCGTAGGCTTGGCGGTCCGGAGCCGGTGCCATCCTCGAGTTCTTGTCGCGGGACAGCGACTTGAAGATCCACCAGAGCAGGATGAGACCGACAATGACTCCGATCACGATGCCGACGATGGCACCGGTGCTGAGATGGTCATTTCCACCGCCGTTGCCGTTGCCGTCGTCGGCTTGTTGCACCACGGTGACGGTGGCCGTGGGTGGGTCCTGGCGGATGAACAGGCTGGCCAATGAGGCTAATGTTTTTGTTGGGGCCATTTCGAAAGTGCTTTCTTCTGGATTCTGACTGTGTGGGATTGCTTGTCGTCTGGGGGCTATTCCGATGATTGGAAAGAGGAGATTTGGCCGGTTGAGTCTCTTGTCAAGTGGCAATGGGATTGTATGGGCGCAAACACCAAGTGGTGTCGATCACGGTCCCCTGCTAGGGCTGTAAGTGGCCGATGGTGTGCTTCAAAAGCACCCTTTTCCCCAGATGACCGGTGTGTGGATGGAAAGCGAGTGATGAAGAGGCGATGAAGATTCAACAGTCTCACGAGGCGAATCTGAGTCAAGTTATAGAAGCAAAAAGGAGCATCATCAGAAGCAGACACGGCAGGGGAAGTGTGCTAGGTTCCTCGTCAGGAACATCGTGGAGCGTCATGATAACATCACCACATGGATCGCCGGCCATAAAATGCAAGTAATCCCACCTGGTCTCAGCCACTTTTGGTGGCTTGCTTTAGGCTCAAGTGGTGGTGCTCATTCTGGTTCAGTGATCAGTCTAGTGATGGCCCTACAGAGTTGAGACTTGGTTGGTGACGTTATGAGGCAGCATCCAAGGGAAAACTTAGCGTCAAGTTGGGACTTGATTGGCAGTCTTATCGTCCCTATCGTCGGTCGGCACTTGATCTTCAACTGCTGCACTGACGTCATGTTGCAATCAATCGGGTTAGGGTTAACGGTGATGTTCAGGGGTTCAGGACCTCAACGGCGTCGACTTCACGCTAGCCCTCCAAGCCTCCTTACCTCGAATCTCAAATTTTTGTTGAAGCAGCGTGTTCATAGGTGGTCCGACGTTTCTGATTTTGTATGCGTCAGCATTAAACACTGAGCCGCCCAGTTGGTGCTCGCTGAGTTGCTGCCTCTTTACAGATACCGCCGGAGTGTCACTTGTCCCCAAGCACCAAGCACTCCAGTGATGCGAGCAGCATCGAACACAGCTCGGTCTTTTGGTCAACAACCTGATCTGGAAGACTGGGCATAGCTCTCTATATATCTTGCAAAGACTGGGGGAAACTTCCATGCACTGAAATGTTCATCGTCTCGGATCAACGTGCCGAGTTCAGTTCAGCCAATCCTATGCGTTGAGGGTCTGGCCAAGACATCCCAATGTAACCTACCAGCGTGGTGTGTTCGGTATGACGTTAGGGCTGAGTGTGTGGATGGTTGTGTTCAAGTGAACTTGTTTCCGATCAACCTGCAGATGATGTGGCGATTCCAGCTCGAGTTACCGGTATGAAGGAGCAACCCCTCGTTGAGGAGTTTGATAACCGAAGCAAGACCCCTGGCACTAGTTCATCCTTTCTTCCTTCACTATTGATCACTACTGCGACACAAAGTTGGTTACTCCGGTTGACGACAAAGACAACATTGAACCCTCAACCCCAGCCCAAACTAAAACACCAAGGTCTCCATCACCAAACACCAATTACAAAATGTTAGAACGCCGCGGGCGAGGACGAGGCTCCAACAGAGACCGTTACCAAGACGATGACGACTACTCAGACTACTCCGACTACGACCGTCCCTCCCGGTCAGCAACAGCACCTCCCAAGCGCCACCGCTCCATAAGCCGTCGAGCCCTGGACAGACTCAGTTCCACATTTGGCAACCTCGGCCTCAACAAAGATAAAGATTCAGCAAGAACCAGGTCATCTGGCTGCTATCGTGATGGGGCAGGGGACGACTCCGACTACGACACCGACTACAGCACCAACTACACCCACGACAAGAAACGTTCCTCCCGATCACGACACCACTCCCCCGACCGCGATCGCGGTAGTGGTACCCATTCCTCCCGCTACCCGCCTCGAGCCAGTCTAAACCGTCAACGCTCCTACTCCTACTCTCCCGAGCGGTACGAAAGCAGGCAGCGTGGGCGAAGCAGCCATCGAAGCACAGGAAACAGCCGTGACCCACGTTCCAAGAGCCGATGGGCGCGGAGCATTGATGCTGCTCTCGACGCCGCTGCCATCGAGGCCGTCAGGGTGCGCAAGGAGCCCGGCCCGTGGACGGGCAGGAAGGGGTCGAGGGTGTTGACGGCGGCGATGGCGGCGGCGGCGGTGGGAGTGGCGACGGATCATAGGCAGGATGGGAGGGGGGATAAGAAGGGGAAGATTGGGAGTGCGTTGGGCGGGTTGGTGATTAATCGGATGCTTAATGGGCCGAGGAAGGATTTGAGGAGGGACTTGAGGTATTAGGTTGGGTGGAGGGGAAATGGTGATGAATGAAGGCGCAGTTACGTTATGGGGCATGGGTACGGGCATGCATCTGGTTTATGAAGTTATGACTGATGAAGGTATTCGAGTTAGATATTATAATGTCATGACACGACGGTTCTTCATGGACTTTAGAGAGAAGGGACGAAAAACACTTAATGCGACTTGAGATACAAACACTACCTTAGCAGCTGGAAAAATGTTGTCATCACAGTCAAGTCTCTGAAGACTTTTCCATGTGCTGGATCCAATAACAGACAACGACTTTCTCCATTGAAGTCCGAGACACTATGAGACTTCAGGGGCATGGATCCGAGTTACCCTCATGAGATGCTACCATAGTCTCCTAATAAAATGATCTTGACCGCTACCTTCTAAGGCCGAGACCCTAGTCTTCTTGAGTATGCTGATCTAATTGGAATATTGGATTGTCGGACCACGGCATAGTGTTCAATGCTTGCTTTGGTTTAATTCTCTCAGAAGTCCGAGTTGAGGCTCGGAAACAATCCTTCCACCGGTGCACTCAACCAAGACCATTACCTCACAGCGTAGCTTACACTTTAAGCGGTAGTTTAGCCGCAATCCTTCGTAGACACCATTAAGGGTCTCATGGACCATTCATAGACTTACCGATATTGCATTGGAATGCTTTTGAGGCTCCCCATGCGGCTCAGCAAATTTGATGCTCACCAGTAGCATTGGCATCGGAACTTCAACAAATGATGTCGGACTCCATGAAAGACGGCAACTTCATACCCGTGGTTGCACCAGGCAACAACCGGACGTTGAATATCCCAACTTGAAAGACGTATAAAGATGCCTTGACATCCTCAACTCAGTCAGGAAGAAATAGCCAAACATCACTCACCCATTTCACCCAGTCTTCACCCTCTTACCACTCTCACAATGATCACCTACCGCTTCCTCACTCTCGCCTCCCTGGCCCTCGCCCTGCCCCTCGCAGCAGCGGCCCCAACCGTCTCCGAGGCCCTCGAAATCCGTGAGGTCTTCTCCTTCGAGAAATGGGTCGACTCCATCATCGCCAACCCCGACACAGCTCTATCTCCCGAGCAGGCTATCGAGGCATGGACTGCCTCGACCAACGGCACTTCGTCCGAGGCTCTGTCAAAGAGAGCGGCTTCTTGTGTGGGAATGGCTGATCAGGCCTATGTACGTCCATCCCCTACCATCCCCTTCCGCACCCCGCTCCTCCTCATCCCGCACCCATCTCGTTTCCACACCAAAACCCACAACCCAGCCCCTAGCCGCTCCCGACTGACTGACTGACTGACTTGCCCTACTAGGTCCCCGACGCAATAATCTGCATCAACACACTGGCCTCCCTCGGCTCGCAAGCCTGCGTCGCCAACGCCGTGGCCGTCTTCTGGACCCACGGCCGCGCGCAGGTGGTGGGCGTCGCGGGACCCGTCGCGTACGTGTCGACCACGTGCCAGAAGGTGGCCGAGACGGCGGGCAAGATCATGGATCAGTGCACCAGTGGGCAGTTCACGGGCGGGCAACTGTCGAATGTGGCTGATAACCGGATGGCGGTTCATTTGAGGTTGCCTTCTTAGGTGTCATGACTATGCAGGGCTGTTGGTATAACTGCAGAACTGCTTGGTGCTGCTTTTGTTTTCTTATAAAGCAGGGGGAAAATGGGGACACAAAAATTAGAGAACGGGAGGAAGAGTAGAGTGTGTGGTTCGACAAAAAATGACGAAAAAAAAAAGATCTCTTAAAAAAATGTGATCCGACCCAGGCTCGATCTGGGGACCTTCAGTGTGTTAGACTGACGTGATAACCAACTACACCATCGGACCAATGGATGTTAAATTCTTCCATGTGTCCCATCTAAGAACTGACTCGCAGATCCAGTAGACTACTAGAATAATGACCTCATCAATGTCGGCCAGCAACACCAAGTCTCTCCGCTTCGTGACAGCGATTATCACCAGCGTCCAACGAGCACCAACGTCTCTCATAAACTGTAACTATCAGCCGCAAACACCATACTCTCTTATTATGCACTCCTCCAAGTCGAAGCATCCGTCACTTCCTATACTCCCCATGCTGCAACACCTCCGGGTTATGTTCCACATGATGACCGTGCTGATCTGTAAAGAGAACCTGAGTATTGTGTTTTTTTGCGTCAACACTCTGCGAGGTACCGAAATGTCATTTTGGAGTTGAAAATACCTACCTTAGGCGGATGTTGCACCCCTTCCCTCTCAGCCTCCTCCTTACTGATCACGATCTTTTCCACCTCACCTTCGTGTCTTCCACGGTTTCCACCGTGGGAGTGAGTAAAGACGTGGTCACCCACATGGATGGGCTCGCTGTTCTTATCCTTGAGGTCGTCTGAGGGCATTGTGATTTGCGCGTGCGATGTATAGGGTCAGATGGTAAGGATGCGCGGGCCTGGACCGTTGTCTTTCACCGTTGATGCGATGAGCGAAACACCCATAGTGGAAAATGTTTGTTTGGACTTTGGGGATTGTTCGAAAGGTGTAGTGGGGAGCATTATCGAGGTCCTAGGTTTCTGGCCTACAGGGGTCAGCACTAGCCACAAAAGTTACTTTTGCGCAAAACTTAGAAAATCACACTAAGCGCCCACTAACAATATTTATACTATTATACTTCGCTTGCGCTATATTCCCGCAATTTCCCCGTGGTTACTACTAGCTCCCTAAATTTCGCGCAACCACGACCATAATAAATATTATTATTCACTACGTTTCCTATTATATACTATACAATGTTATCAAAGCACAACCCTATATTAATTACTAATATATATACCTATCTATATATTAATAATAAATAAGCTACTCGCTACTATATACCATAATTCTTTACTCGTATATTAATTACCGGCCCAATATAATCCTACTATAGGAAAGTAGGACAATAAATTTCTTAATTTTAATTAATAAAGTTCATTTTAACCAACTATTTATAGAAGTAATTGCCGACGATACTACGCTTAGTCCTACTTCCAATATACTTAATTAATTTACTTTTAAAATATTTAACGAACCCGTACGCCCTAAATATATAAAAAACGAAGACCTACTACTACCTAATTCCTTTTAAGCACTTTCCTCGCCTCCTTCTATTGTAAATAATAAAACTAATTATTAAAGTAACCGCCGTAGAAAATAGAACGCGAACCCCTTAAATTAATTCTAACAATTATAAAGTAACTGAATGATAATCTTTATATTCTTATAAAAATTATAAAAATCCGTCAGCGTTATTAGGAAAAAAGAACGTTCATGATACTAATTACTAAATAAAAATATAATTAATATTAGGTTTTATATATTTATATTAAAAGAGAAACCTAAACGTTAAAAAGGGGGTTAAAAGAGTATACGGAAAAATTATAATACCGCTACCGTATATATAAAGACGGTAAATAATTAAGTAGCGGGATTAAAAAAACGTTTAAAAATATCCGCTATTTAAAAAACCGTTATCCTATACGCTTTAAATAGGTAATATATAATAATAATTATAAAATTACTATTTTCGAACTATATAATTATATTATAAAATTTTATAATTAAAATAATATATTAATAGCTATAAAAAAGTATATTACGTTTCTCCTTTCAATAAATTACCTTATTATAATAATAGAAAAAATAGTCTTTAAATACGACTATCCCGCTTATAGAAAGCGGATAAATTACTACAAGGGTTATTATTTTACTACTTAAAAGTTCGCTAATATTATAAGGTCCCTATATATCAAATTAAAGAAAAAACCGCGTATTATTAATAAAGTAAATCTCCCTATAATAGAATACGAAAAATATTTTTAAGAGCTTAATAATCTTAATAATTAGAAAATTAAATATATTTTCCTCCCTAAATTTAACCTAAAAACGAAAAAAAAAAGAATAAACCTATTATTAAACTAATCTTTATAAATAAAAACTATGTAGAAATCTTATAAGAATCTAACGTAATTATAATTATAAATTCAATATATAATACAACCTATTTTACCTTTTTCTTATTTATAATTATAGTACGGAATAATTACGGATTGTAATTTCGTATTATTTTTTTCTTTACGTTTAATCAAATTAGTAAAATTATTAAAAAATATTTAAAAATATTAATCGAATAATATAGTAATTTATAGGGCTAGGTTTTAAAATATATAGTTATAAACGATTTAATAATAGAATAAAAAAAATATATAATTTACCTTCAATATTATCTACCGCGGGGTAAATGCAATCCAACATCTATTATACAAAAAATATTTTTAAATTACGTTTTACAAGCACTTCCAAAATAATACCCGTACCTTACGAACTATAACTACAACTTTATATAACCAATTAATAAAAGAAAATTACTTCTAATTTATTAATAAAGTTATTATTCATACTAACCTAATGTAAACTAAATATCTCTGCAAAAACTAACAAAATTATACCAAATATTAAGCGTACTAATTTAAATATACAGTCCCGCTACTTTTATAAATTAATATTATAAATATAATTAAATCTTAATATACTTATTTAAAAACTATTAACGCTATTTTAAAATAGAAAATAAAAATATTATATAATTTAACCGGTACTTTCTATATAATTATTAATAATATATATAATTACTTTCATTATATTAATAAATAATAATCCCGCTCAAAATTCTATTAGGGATCGCTTATATTAGCTTTTCCGGAATTTGGGTTTAATAAATTACTAATCTATATACAAACTCTCATTTTCTAATAATATTATACTATTAAAAAATAACGGCGTAAATAGTAACCCTCTAAGTTTAAATATACTTATATACTTTATTAGGAAATACTATTATTAAAAAAATAACTTAATAAATAAAATTTATCCCGCATCTTTTTAACTACTAATTCGCTAATATTTTATTTTTTTTAATAATAGGATAGAAGATAAGGAGCCGAATACTATCTTTATACCCGAACGACCACTGCCTAAAGAAAACAATTTTTTTAAATTATAAAACCCGAAACTTTAAAACTTTGAAAATAACCTAATAAGTATTAATAAGCGCCTTATAAGTATACTATAATATAAATACCGCTAATTCGCTACTTAGTAACTACTTTATATTTATATTTAATACTATTACCCCTCTTTTAATTCATTATAACCTACTCATTTTATTTAACTAATTAATCTTTAAACTAAAAATAAATTCGAAATTTATAAAGAAATTCATACACTATTTAAAAGTACTTTTAATTATATTATTAATACACTCTAAAAGTATAAATTAAATTTTTAAGAAGTTAATAAGTAATTAAATACAAATTTATAAAAGATTCTAAATTTTATAAAAATTAATAATAGTAATTTAAATAAATTAGACCGGACATTAAATAACCTCTACTTTATAATTCGAAATAGTATTAACGTTATTATCGCTATGAAAATAAAGGAATTGATCCAATTATTAAATAATATATAAGTTAAATTTTAGGAATAATATAGAGTAAAATAGGAAGATGACCTACTACTTCGCTACTTTAACGTTAATATTTAACTTTTAATTCTAAATTTTTTTTTTTTAATTTGATCTTTTTAATAATTATCCGGGTTTCTTTTTCCTAATTTTTAAAATCCCTAATACTTTTTTTACGAATATATACATAAAATATAACCTATTAATTCGCTACTTTAATATTAGTACTTAATTTCTAATTCTAAATTCTTCTTTTCTAATTCGATTTCCTTAATAATTCTTTAAATTTCTTTTTCCTAATTTTTAAAATCCTTAATACCTATATAAGTCTTCTTTTTTTATTTCTCAAGAAGAAATCTTATTCTTAATATCTTCTTTCGTTAATATATTTAATTATATAAGGCTATTATTAAATATTTATAAGCTACGAAAAAAATACCTTTTAAATATATATTTAAAGTAATACAAATTTAAAATTTTTAAACGTTTTTCTAAGGTAATACCCTTTAAAAATAAGCAACTAGTAAAATATTTTATAACGTAGTATAATAAATAGTATAATTATAACCCCGTACTAAAAGCTATACTTTTATATACGCTATTAGTAATTATTAATTATAGTCGCTTATAATTAATCCTTAAATACTATACTTACATAAAATTTAATAAAAATATTAAATATATATTTATTATACCTTATTTAACTATTTTATAAATTTTTATGATTTATATTGTAATATATAATTATATATTTAAAAGAATATTCAAAATACTTATAGGTTATTAACGAACTACTACCCCGTTTTAATATTTCGTATAAATAATAAAATAAAAAATATTTAAATATTCTAAATTCGAAATAATAATTAATAATATAATAAATTCGTCTATACCTTCTATTTATACTTTTCATTTATACCTTCTATCTATACCTTCTATTTAAAAATCTATATAATATATTTAAAATAAATTTATTTAAATAGATATCCCTAATTAGGAAATCCCTACCCCTCTCTACCTTTCTTTATCGCATCCTCTTCCCCTTCTTTCTTCTTTCCTTTTACAATTTTACAACTATTTATATACCCATCGCTTTCTTAACTTCTATTAACGTTATTTATATATATATAGTAAATTCTATTATATTACGCATCTTTCCCACTACTATAAATACTTATACTTTCTTATTAAACGAATCTAAATAGTAATCAATATAAACTTTATAATTATTTAGCATATAATTCAAACTTACTAAAATACCCTCTAATACGCGCATTAGCAATAAAAAAGCAAACGAAAATAAAAAAAAGAGAACTCTAAAGAAGGTTCGCGTAAAATAATTACCCTACTTTCCTACTACTTTCTAAAAGCTAATATATAGTAAAAAAATAATAAGGGACCGGAAATAAAAATAAAGGACACGCCTACCCCGAATAAAAAGCCGACGAAAGAGCCTGGTATAAAGAAGAGCTTACTTCATAACATTTATATTAATAAAATTATTAATAATAAAACTGGTAATACCTAAAAATACTTCAACCCAAAGGGTACGGGAAATACTTATTAAGAATATACGAAGGGTAATTATACTACTTTATATAAAAGTATAAAATTAAATTTTTAAAGTTTAATTATTATTTAATAAATATTAATACGCTTAAATCTCGTATTATATTATTCCCAACTTAAAAACTTAATAGGAGAAAAATTGTATTTTAAAGCTTAAAAAACGTACCGACGCTTTTTATAAATAAGGCCAAAGCTTCGTCAACAAAATACGCGAATATAAAAAAAAATAATAATATTACTATTACCCCTTTAACTCCTAGCCCCACTACTTTCCCGCAAACTTTTAATACCGCTCCCTACACTTTAATTATTAAAAAGACCGAAGAAAAAAATATATAGGGAAGCAAAGTTAGAATTCTTTAAATATTAAGTACAAACTACGGAAAATATAGCGGATTCAGTTTATTAATACAAAAAGCTATTAAAGAAATAATTTAAAATGTATATAATATGAAAAGAAGCTTCCAACCTTATAATACTAATATGATAAATTTGAATAAAAATGCTTTTA